GAATAGCTTGCTAATGTAACAAACCTCACATTTGATTTAGGGTCTTTAAAATGTCATTGAATTGTCTCAAAGCACTTTACGTGATTTACAGGGAAGTGTGCTTTTGTAGACAAATATTCATTATTTAGCCGCACACATGAAGGAAGCAATGCTGAGGGTGTGCTGGATGCTGGAGGCACAGTTTAGATGGGGCATTAAACCAAGATTCCACTGCCTGTTCAGGTGACATTAAGAATCTCGCACTGTTCATAAAGAGAAGGGTATTTCACCTGGTGTCCCAGCCAATAATCCCTCAGATAAAACTGGCTTCATGGGTGATAGTGGGACATTGCTGTGTGCAAATTGCCCGCAGTGCTCATCTATAAAATACTGAATTACTCCACTTTACAGAAGAAAACCTGTGAAGGACTTTAATACATCCTCCTGACGTATAACGTACTGTAAAATATAAGGATTATTATCAATGCTATTTGTAAAGACATTTGGAAATTTATCCCACAATATGGATTCGGAGTGCGGCTTTGAATCCCACCTGCCCCCCCCTCTGTTTTTTTCTTTATTCCAATGATTTCTCCTTGAGGAGTGGAGAGGAAGGAAGTCATCCTGAACCTTGAGCTCTGTGGTTGATGCCTGCGAATGGCATTCTGCCATTATTCAGTGAAAGGACACAATTGCAGTGAGTTAAGCCACAATGTTTTAGTCAATAAAAAGAGGAATCTTTGTACCATAAGTGGTGTACCAATAATTGCTGTGCCATACATCATGATTCTGTCAGCTCTCAATCCTCGAAAGGATTTCAAGTTCTCACCATTTAGTATATTTGTTGCAGGATATTCTGGAAACAGCAAGCTTGATGATCTACGGTCATAAGCCTCAAAAAGGGAAGATTCTGACAAGTTTATTTTGCGTAACTCTTTTACAGTGACAAGTTCAATCTCTTCAAATGTATGTATATGTAATGGTCTATCCTGTGAGTGTCTGACTCTGCGTCTTGTGAAGGAGGGCTTTTTTGTGGAAATTTTAAATGACCAGGGATCACATCTTGTGTGAATGAATTAAAAATTAAATTGTCAAAGAAAATGTCCAGATATACAAGTGTCTATGAATATTGCTGCAAGCCAGGGATTGGGCAAAGAGTTTCCTCTGCAAAAATTCACTACTCTGTATGGCCTGAACACAATCTGTAAATCTCATGTATTACTATTGTTAATAATAATACAATAATAATAATATTATTAACAATAATCCTTACATTTGACATAGCACCTTGTCATGTTATTGAGATGTCTCAAAGCGCTTCACAGAATATACTGAAAAGTGAATTGAATCTGAATTTTGTGGACGAAATGCAACAGCCAATTGCACACACTAGTGACCCACAAGCAGTCGTGGATTGAATTACATTTTTTTTAAAAAGGATTATTATCCCAGAAAGTGATCCAGCATTCAACTAACAACTGGGTTCTTAACTGCTAGATAAACAGAGGAGTGTGGAGTAAGGAAACATGCCTAAGGTTTACACCTTCCCAAGAATCAAACCCAGATCATCTCGCTTGCGAGGCGAGTGCTCCAACCACTACGCTTCAGAAAGAGGACAAATGTCCTCCTATTCTGTGTCACATTACTTAACCTATTTACATTTGTGATTATCCATTAAATCTATATTATCCATGCCTTTTAAAGCCGTATATCATGTTCTTTTTCAATCTATTCAGCTGAAACAAGACAATTTTGTGATAATTGTTGGTTTCCCCAGAGCACAGAAATGGATGGAAAGCTGGCAGTTCAGCCTGAAAGTCATCTCATGGAATTTGTTTCTGATTATTCACCTCCCTCAGGAAATTAAAGAAACCTTGTAGAGTCCAACCACAAATATATTATACAACAACAACAACTTGCATTTATATAGTGCCCTTCACGTGGGGTAGCGTCCCAGAGCACTTATAACATTAATGCTGCGAGTTTGCGTGAGAACTTGACCTTGTAAAGTTTTTAAAAAATGTATCCATTATGTTGGTGACCTTCATATGATTCTGGCTTCACTTGTACAGTGGTGAGATCAAGCACGATTGCATCATCCTGAATATGCTGTGAAATGAATTGACAGTATATTCTGGGGCACAACAACAACAACAAAATTATATTTGTAAAGCGTGTTTCACGTCGGGAGGACGTCCCAAGGCGCTGGACAGTCAGTGTTTTGAGCCCGCGCTGGGGGGCTGGGATTGGGGAGTGTGGAGGGCAGGGGTTCCACCAGCCCTGCAAATACCCAAAAAGCATACAAACAATATGTGAGTGTGTTTTCCCCTTAATATTGTCTGAAGAAGTAATTTCTTACTTCTTACAAGGACTTGTTGTGTCAATATTTAGCAACTGCATATAAACTGTATATTTTTTCTTTTAAATGAACGAAGTTTCTATCCAAATATTGCATCTAATTTTCATGTTTACTGCCAGCAAATATGCAGAAAGGTGTTTTGACGCAGTGTTTTTTTTTGATTATCGCAAACATAGCTGATATTTTGTTTGAAGGTTAAAATATACGTTTCGACCGCAAAACATAACAGTCAATTTACTTTACAGTCCGATCCGTGAAGGGCTTTGAGACGTCTCGGAGACGCGATATATCAAATGCAAGCATTATAAATAATGACTATTATTATTATTATTGAAAAAAGATGGTGATTAGACGAAAAAAATTAGAATGAGTATCAGCAAAACATATAAATGTTGGGTTTGTCCTGCCTGAGACAAAGGGGGGGGGGGGGGGGCGGTGTGTGCTGATTCCGAAGTTGCAAGAATAGTCATTACAGTGCCTTTGAAACTCTGACCGCAGCTCCCTGCTGAAATGAAGATGGAGGGCGGGAGGAGAAAGTTGATGAACCAATTCCAACCAAGTTCGCGTTCTTGCTGAACTGCAAAGCAAACCACGCGGCTGGGAGGGCAGAACCACAGTGAAGTTAGTGCTGTACGATGCCGCTCTGACTGATCTCCGCAATTCACGTAGGCTGCATGTGAAATGATAAATGACTTGTCCTTTGTTTCAGGAAAGTTTAGGTATTTGGGCTTGTGTTTTCTTTTTTTTTTCGCTTCCCCCCCCCCCCCCACCCCAACCACCACCATCACCCCCACCCCCCCAAAACAAAGGAAAGGAATGGGAATCATTTTAAGAAGAAAATGAAAAAGAGACACTTTAAAAATGTAATCATTAAGTCAATAACTATTAATATATATACTGTGTATATAGAGTGGAGTCCTGTAGCTCAGTGGTTAGAGCACTCGCTTTGCAAGCGGGAGACCTGAGTTCAATTCCAGGCAGAGGGTGAAACCTTGGGCAAGTTTCCTTACTCCACACGCCTAATAATAATCCCTCCAAAACCAAAAACAATAATAAATTGGTCATTTTCAATCTATGACTGTTTGTGGGACATTGCTGTGCGCAATTGGCTGCTGCGTTCGCCAACAAATATACAGTCAATTCACTTTACAGTGTGTTCTGTGAAGCGCTTTGGGACGTCCTCCTGACGTGAAAAGCGCTATATCAAATGCAAGGATTATTATTATTATATATATCTATAAGTACTGTATATAGATATATACTGTATATGCATATATATATACTGTATATGCATAGATATATACTGTGTATATATAAATATGTACTGTATATAGATATATACTGTATGTAGATATATGCTGTATACATAGATATATACTGTGTATATATAAATATGTGCTGTGTATAGATATATACTGTATATATAGATATATATGTTGTGTATATAGATATAATGTGTGTATATATAGAGAGCGAAATGTACTATATATATATATATATGCACTCAGGTTAAAACAAGGGGCTCTGAGGCTGAGATTGCTGCTGCAGATGTTTTGACGTCAGCTCTGTGGCTGTGACTGGGGTCAGTGTTACTGAGATGAAAGGCTGTGGCAGCTCTGAGTGCTGCTCTGCACTCACTCTCACTCACTCACACTCACTCACTCACTCACTCACTCACTCACTCACTCTCTCTCTCTCACTCACTCACTCACTCACTCACTCTCTCTCTCTCTCTCACTCTCTCTCTCTCTCACTCTCTCTCTCTCACTCACTCACTCACTCTCTCTCTCACTCACTCACTCCCTCTCTCTCTCCCTCTCTGGATATCCGCCACTCCACGAAGAACCGCATCGACTGCGATCGGATGTCACTCCTCGCCGCTCAGGTTAGGAAACGGTAAGATTCTCACCTTACTTTTTCTTTCGTTTCCCCCCCCACCCCCTCCCCACCCCCCCCCCCTCCCCCCCCCTCCCCCCCCCCCCCACCCCCCAAAAAAAAACACCCCCAAACAAACAAACACACACACAAAGACAGACAGACAAACAAACAGACAAACTTGCAGCCCCGCACTGTCTGTCTGCTGTTGATCTGTGGCTGGAAATTCAACTGGAAGCTCTCAGTTTGCAGCAGGTTGCTTCTGTGACAAGAGAAACAGATGTGTTTTGGGGTGTTGAGGAACTGTTGACATGTGTGTGTGTGTGTGTGTGTGGGATGTGTGTGTGTGTATGTGTGTGTGTGTGGTGTGTGTGTGTGGGATGTGTGTGTGTGGGATGTGTGTGTGTGTGGGATGTGTTTGTGGTGTGTGTGTGTGTGGGATGTGTGGGTGTGTGTGTGTGGTGTGTGTGTGTGTGGGATGTGTGGGTGTGTATGTGTGTGTGTGTGTGGTGTGTGTGTGTGGGATGTGTGTGTGTGTATGTGTGTGTGTGTGGTGTGTGTGTGGTGTGTGTGTGTGTGTGGGGGGGGGAGGGGGTTGTGCACAATCCCTGTTATAACTTCATTGAATAAGTTTGGAGAGGAGATCGAGCCATCGTTGTGCGCTGCTTCTCGGTCTGTCTGACACGGGAAAGGTCAGAGCCCGAGCGCATCGGGTTCACATTTCAAATGTGATTCCCACCTGTGCTGCTTAGCAAGTGATTTATTGCTGGTCTTCGCTGTGTGATTGGGGACCTTTTTCCCGTTGCTCGACAGACTTATTCGACGAAGAACTAGTTGCTGAGTTTATAATTACTTTATGGCTTTATTACTTTATATTTCGTTCTGTTTAAGTAAACGACCGCAACTTTTTAATAAATATATCTGTCTAATATCTACTGATGCATTATTTTAATTTGTGTTTTGCAGGCCACGGTGCTTGGAGATGCGTTTTTATAAACTCCCCTGAATTGAGTTTCCCCGAAGATGTCCAACAACAGCAGCAAAACCACAGCAGCAGCAACAGCAGCAGGAATCTGGTCCAACCCGGACGGGTCTTGTCCGAGCAATTCATCCATTGGCATCTCTGCGACTGTTCCCGTGATATTCATGACCATTGGGACCTTGTCGAACATCATGGCGTTAATCATCCTCATCAAAGCCTATGAGAAATTCAAACAGAAATCCAAGGCGTCCTTTCTGCTCTTCGCCAGCGGTTTGGTGATCACTGACTGCCTGGGGCACATCATCAACGGCGCTATCACAGTCAGGATATACGCGCTGAACAGGGACTGGAAGTCCATCGACCCCTCTGAGAACCTCTGTCGATTTCTGGGGACTTGCATGGTGTTTTTTGGCCTCTCGCCCCTCTTCCTGGGAAGTGTGATGGCCATCGAGCGGTGCGTCGGCATCACGCAGCCCCTCCTGCACTCCGCCAAAATGACCTCCAGACACACCAAGCGCATCTTGGGCTTCACTTGGCTCTTTGCACTCTCTGTGGCCCTACTCCCCAATATGCGCTTCGGGGAATATAAGGTCCAGTGTTCACAGACCTGGTGTTTCATAAAAACTCATAATATTCAAAACGGGAGAGATGTGGGGATTTTGCTTCTTTTTTCCTCCCTGGGATTGACTGCGCTTGGCATCTCCTTGTTGTGCAATTCTGTTACTGTTGTGGTTTTAATCAGATCTGGAATCAAAAGTAGACCTCACAGACAAGGCAGGTCTCATCATGTAGAGATGGTTGTCCAGTTAGTGACCATAGTGTGCGTCTCCTGTATTTGCTGGGGCCCCTTGCTGGTAAGAACCTTTTAAATATTCTGTGTTTTATTATTTATATCCTTCCACGTTTCGCCCACAAAATATATAGTCATTTCGCTTTACGGTATATTCTGCGAAGCGCTTTGAGATGTCGTGACCACGTGATAAGGAGCTATATCAAATGCAAGGATTATTATTATCGTTAGCTCTCAATTGAGCCCATCTAACCTTTGCTCCGTGCTAATTTATTTTAAGTCACAAGTATGATTTTAACAATTTGTGAAAATTGATACGCTTATATATTGTAGGTCATTTTCATGTATATTTATAAATGGATTTTTACTATAACTAAAATTCAGAATTACCTTACTCTTCTCCTGATAGTATTAATTCTTGCTGTGGATGATTCCAGGGACCTGCTGCTCACGCCGATACTGTTACAAACCCAAATACTATAATCATTTGGACATAAATGAATAACTGGTGGCATTATATTCATCAGACTTAATCTGTGCAATGTCTTCATTTCAGCTGTGAAACCATAGTTAGGTTTGAGTTACTTTAAAAACTTTTGCAAATTGTTTTAATTTGAATGCAGACACTATAAGAACTAATATTGCAAGCCATTCATTGGAATGTATTTATATGAACAATATCACACGGTTTCTTAAACCAGTTAGTTTACCTTACAGCTTCAGAATTCGTTCTGTTCGCTGGACCTGAGTTTCAAAACCTAAATTGGAATCTCATTTTCAATCCGCAGTCCATATGTGAGAAAAACAAACCCTTGTCAGCAAACACGTGACTTTCAGGTGAGCTCTTGCAGACAGTCGATTGTTATTGGATTAATCAACTGCACAAGTGTGAAATAAACACAGAGGATCAGTTTATTTTTTTAACGAACTCCAGCAAATTCCTGCTTTCATAAATAGTGTTTAGGCTCAGTATGAAATATTTAAAGCCATAATGCCCACTTTACTGAGGTATCTGAGGAGAATCAGTGCTTGTGGAAAAGTGAAAGGAAAAGGGATCATATGCCTTTGGGAAAAGTTGACAATAAAATGATTATTCTTTTAATATATTACAAGATAGGTTCAGATGAGCAAGGCCTTTTGGCCCATTTGATCTCATACTCACCTTATCATCCTCCCATCACTGCACCATGGGTGTTATTTTTCGCAATGAGTCCAGCTTTCGAGCCTGAACAACCCTTCCCGGTAACAAGTTCCAGTTATTAATTACTCTCTGGGTACAGAAAAACTTCCATGTTGCCTGTCCTGAAATAGCTATTTGCAATCCGAAACCTGTGACCTTTTCTGTTGCAGCAGGTGTCCCTTCTTTCTCAACCTCATTTAAAATCGTGTATAAAGTCTCCTCACAGAAGTTTCAGTTTGAATTATGCAGAATAAATAAAACACAAACATTGTAAAATAATGCTGTGATCCAGTTACACCTGCAATTAATTTTACCATTTGGGTAGGCTATTTATTTTTTGTGAGGGATGGAGGGTTTCATAATATCTTTGAAACAGTTTTAAATCTCTTATTTTAAATCTCTAAATCCAGCACCATTCTCTGCTATAAATGCACAACCGGTTCAATGGATATATTGCGCATTAGATAATTTGTCTATTTCAAATTTTATGATCCACAATATTCAATACCAGCATTTCTTTAAAAGCAAATGTTCACTGTTCGATAGTAACTATTTGTGTCGATTGATAATTTTTAAAAACGCATAAACAAGCTACAATCTAAATAGTTATGAAATTCTGGAATGTTCAAAGAAATAAATCGGCTTTATTAATTTCGTTCCTATCAAAAAAAATTGCATACGAATCACATTGCAAGTGAGTGGACCTGGGTTTGGTTCCCGGGCAGGGCAAAATGTTGGGCAAATTTCCTTACTCCACCCGCCTCTGTTTACCTAACAGCGAGTTTGAACCTGGCAGTAGTAATAAACCCTTTCAAAAAAATTTGGTGCCTCAATCCACGACTGTTTGTGGGACACTGCTGTGCACAATTAGCTGCCGTGATTCTCCTATAAAATATACAGTCAATTCACTTTACAGTATATTCTGGTGAAGTGCTTTGAAACATCTCGAAGACGTGATAAGGCGCTATATCAAATGCGAGGATTATTATATTATTATCGAAAGTGTTTTTTTTAAAAAAAACAACTTGTTAAGTTCTGCCAATTTCCAATACTTTATTCAATGCATAATGACTAGTTTTGGACTCTTTAACTTCAGTGGGAAAAAAATCAGGGTTTCTGTTTGCACAGACATTGGCACAGACCTGTACCTCAATGTTGTACTTTGAATTGTGGTTGAGCATATTTTACCAACGGGAGGATGCTCGCAGATGTGGCATATATGGTACAGAGTAAGGAACAGCTATCCTGTATGTTTCCAGTTTAATAAATGTCAGGGTGATCTATTGCAGACTCTAATAGCCTTATTTTTCTTGGCAGTATGGAAGAGTAAAAAAAGGACAGGCTGTGTAGTTTATTCACAGGCTTAATGGCTTTTGGTTTCATGTTTTTGTTTAAATTTGTCAAATGTTTGACTTAAAAAGTCATTTTATTATATATTCCTGTATAAGTAGAACACAGACCATTTCTCACATAACGTAAAATATGGATTAAAATATAACAGCACAGAAACAGACCATTCGGCCCAACTGGTCTATGCCTGTGTTTATGCTGCATATGAGCCTCCTCCTGCCCTTCCTCAACTAAGCCTTCAAGCATAACCTTCTGTTCCTTTCTCCCTCATGTACCTATCCAGCTTTCCCTTAAATACATATATGCTATTTGCCTCAACAACTCCACATTCCCACTACTATCTGTGTGAAGAAATTTCTTCTAACTTCCCTATTTGATCTAATTGTGACTATTCTATGTTGATGGCCCCTGGTTTTGGTCTCTCCCAAAAGTGGATACATCTTCCCTATGTCTACCCTGTCAAAACATTTCATCATTTTAAAGACCTCTATCAGGTCACCCCTTAACCTCCTCTTTTCAAGAAAAGAGTCCAAGTATGTTCAGCCTTTCCTGATAGGTATAATCTCTCAGTTCTGGGATCATCCTCGTGAATCTTCTTTGCACCTTTCCAGTGCCTCTACATCCCTTCTATAATGTGGGGACTAGAACTGCACACATTATTCTAAGTGTGATCCAACCAAGGTTCTATAGAGGTTTGCCATACCTTCCCAGCTTTTCATTTCTATCCCTCTAGAAATGAACCCCAATGCCTGGTTTGCTTTTTTATGGCCTTATTAACCTGGGATGCTACTTTTAGTGAATTGTTTATGTGTATCCCTAAGTCCCTTTGCTCGTCTACCCCATTTAGGATTTTATTTTCCAGGATGTATGTGATCATATTCTCAATCAAGATCAATCCAGCCATAAAAAAGTTAAAATGGAAAAGTGTTTAAAATAAAACATTACCTTAACTGGGTTAAAGAAATAAACTATTTTGATCATTCAGTGGTTCAGAGCATGATTGCCTAGTTTGGTTCTGAGCCATGTAGATCAAGAAGGTCTGAGGTTTGATTCATGGCCTGAGAGGAGGTGAAAATTCAAACAGGATTTCATCCTGAATGATATACTGCTGGAAACTACAACAGTTGGATCAGGACTGGTTGTGACACTATAGAGCCAACTGACACACAAAATCTTTACTTGTATACAAAGAATAGACATTTAGAGGTGAGAGTAAAACTGAGTCTTATGGAACTGTATCCCAGCTGAGTCAGCACCTTCTGAAAACAAAGAGGAGAAGAAAATACATAATCAATTATTGAAAACAATCAAAAGGTACAGCCAATTCAATTAAAATAGAAAAGGTGTACTTCAAAGACCAACTAGTAAATGTATCCAACTCACCTGGCTTTTACCAGGCTGAAACAGTACCAAGCTTTAGTGGCACGTCTTAACGCAGGCTACAATGACCTCAAATGGAATTATTTATTGTTATGGTATTTCTCTGAAGTAGGTAGAGTATTACCGGACACGCTAATTGATTAAGCACAAAATATGTCGTGGTCTAGGGAAGTAAATCACAGGCAGGTGTTGGCTGAGTAATCCACAGTGTGTAATGTTGCTTATGAAACTTGCAGTTTGTTTTCCATGTGTGTTTTTTTTGGTCATTTAGATGAGTGACTTGTGGATATCACCATGCCAACTACTCATGGAAATTTCTAGAATGGTTTAGTGCACTGTATCCCTGGTAGGACACACCCTACTTACCCAATTCCAGAGAGTATTAGCCACAGGTTGGCAAGCACTAATGCTTGAGGACCCCAGTACTGGGGAAATCCTGGAGTTTAACCAACTAAAAACGTACAGTTTGCTGTTGAGAGCTCTCTCTGTCAAGCTTCCCGATGCTCGTCCAGCTTGAACCACAGTACCAGTTAGCACTTTGGTTTGCAGGGTTAACGGGAACTGAATAGGAATAATCCCTGCCCCAGTGCCTGCCTCTTCAAGTCCTGCCAACAAGCCTGGCTAGCTGGTCTGTCATCAGCAGTGCCTCGGAATACTGTGTACCTACGTGGCTCAGGAACCAGATTTCCGAGACTACCACAGAAGGTTGACTTGATCCCAACATTTTGTTGCCAAGCATGTCACCTTGGATCCATCATGGAGACCATGCTTATCTTCCCCAAGTAGTCTAGTCACGTGTGGAGATCAGGGTGAGTGTTCTCAGATCCATAATTTATTGCACACATTTTAAAAATATATTATCAGGTGTACTGGTTTAGCTGTGGGTGACACACATGATGGGGTTATAATGACATTATACCGTGTGATTTTGTTTGTGTAAGATGTCAAATAAACCTCAAGGAGGATCTATAACTGTTTCTGGTAAGCAAATTATTTGTTGGTCAATGAAGAAGCCTGGGTTTGCACTAATTTGCAGAATGTGGCTAATATGTCACTATCATTGCTTTCATCAGGTTCCAATTTTTTATTGGTATCATTTGTATTGTATAACAACAATCACAGGACAATGTTTAGACATTTATCCTAAGGCTGAGAGAATTTCACAAGATTGAAGTTTTGGATGAAAAAGCCTTTCTGCTCGTCTGATCCCTGTGTCAAGCTTTATTTAAAATGAATCCATTATTCTAGCTTCAAACTACATTTCCTGTCTGTTCCAGTCACCAATTACCCTCAGAGTAAAGTAAAGCTCAATAGTTTCTGCTCTGAAATTGCCCTTAGCAGTTCTAAACCTGTGTCCTTTTGTTCTACTGTCTTGGTGAATCCAAAAGTATTGGTCTGGGTTGATTTTACCAAACCCATTTAAAATGCTATATGCCTCTAGAAGATCTTCTGTGAATTATCTCTTCAAAACTGCAGAGACCTAACTTCTCAAATTGTTTCTCAAAGTATAATATAAAATATATTCCTCAGAAACTTGTTTTGAGGTGCGTTTCTGATTTCTTTAATTCATAGTCTTTCTTCAAGTTCAGAGTCCACTGATTCAATGTCTTGAAATGTGTGAGTAATCTTGCTAGGTGTGTCATTGCTTTGTCATTTTCACTGTGTGTTTTATTAACGGTCTCAAATGCGAGGCGCTTGAGTGGTTTTGTTTTATTTTATTTTAGTTACAAGGTTTCAGTCCAGCTATTCCATGGCTGCTTTGTTTTGCAATGATGTGATCGATGTTTGTGCCATTCTTTACACAAATTTGGCCATTGTGTACATTACTGGATCATTCTAATTGATTGCAACATTTTTTTGAGTGGGTGGTTAGGAGAAGCAAAAACAATTGAGAGTAAAACCATTGGCACAGAATCAATAGATTGTATTGAGATACAGAAAACTAACTTCAAAGCTATGACTGAATTTAGTAATTTGTCAAATTCTGGATGTTCTGAAACTCTATATGAAAATTTCCCCCAAATGCTCCTGTAATAAGATTGAACATTATCTAAGTTGACCTTAAATTTGTAGATAGATTGTTAGATTTACTCAATTCCTGTTTAGTTGTTTCAGGCATTGTCATTGTTTTCAACGAGAAATAATAGACTGCTTTGGCATTTTGTGAAATTGTTAACTGAACCCAGAAAATAAAATCCTTTCAACTTTTGTGATGGGACATTTCCAATCTATGAATAAATTATAAATTACTAATAATTATTACTAACATCTAAAATAGATGTGATTGTTTGTATAGCATTTTCATACCCCTGCAGGTGACGCGATTCAAAGTGTAACTAAATGCATGAGCTCTGCCAACCAGCATCGAATGGCAATATATTTCTAAATTCTATTAAAGAGAAGGCTTTGGAACCGTCTCGTTAATAACATTGAAGAGCTAAAAAAAATTTTTTTTAATTGTAACAGTTCTGTGATTTTTGCATTTCTATTGAAGTTGTGGCACTAATTTGATTCCCGGAACCCTCTGCAAAGGTAGTTTTAGGAATGGGGCTCCAAAATGAAAACTCAATATATATCTAACTGCGATGTTTACTGTCTAATAATAATAATAATATAATATCAGTCGTATGGAGGTGACAATATACGTATGAGGATGGATTCTCTTCACTTATTTTAAGATGTTTTCACTCGCAACTCCTTATTTTGTTCAACAACTTTTCCATCTATGAATGCCCAGTCAGAATTTTTCATCTAAGAAACAATTTATTTTTCTATTGTTGAATTTTCAAGAACTCCAACTAAGGAAGTTAATGAATTGTTTACAAAAGTCATTTCACTGTGTTACCACTCCTCAGATAAGATGTAATAAGATGTAAACAGCATAAAGGGTAATCCTTAGACGGATACCATGTTTATGCAGAATTCTGGACTGGTTGATTCTGTATGTTTTTCAGTTTATACACTGGGATGCTAAAAACACATTTTAAAGCACTGTCATAAATATATTGATGCTTGATCAACAGTTGCATTTAAGTCATGACTTAGGATGTAAATTTTTAATGTACTGAAACTGTAAAGATTGAATCAACGTGTTTATATTCCTCCAGGATATTTGATGTAAATTTTTCCTCTTTGCTGTACGCTCTCTTTGTTGCTTTACTAATTTTAATTTAATCTACCTCTTCAAAATCCTTTTTTATTCTTAATTTTAAAACCTATTACTCCTCCGCTAGTTTGTTCCAGTTCCCACCATCCATTTCAAAAATGTTGGTTGCATCTATTCTATTTTGAAAGAAATGAGGCTGGGCTACAGTGGTATCAGAAACATATTTGCAACAAAGTAGTTTTAAAAGTTTGTTAATTCAACAAAGAAAATACTACTTTTGTTATAGTTTTTGAAAAGTGATCATTCGAATGCACAGAGCAACAAGAATGCTCCCTAATCCAAATTTGCCATTAAATGTTATTCCACAAGGGATTTGCCCTCAAAATATATCGTCAATTAATTCACTTTACAGTATATTATGTGAAGTCCTTTGAGAATCTTGAAGATGTGATATATTTCTATATATATTTCTATATCAAATGCAAGGATTATTATTATTATTATTATAAGATTTTGATTGTTATTTTGATGACTGGGTTTCTAATGATTTTTTTTTGCCTTGTTCAGGTGATGGTGGCAGTAATTGGCAGCGCCAGGTATCTGGATAAGAATTTGAATCAGCCAGCCATCAATTCATTGCTCTTTCAAGCGGTCCGGATGGCAGCCTGGAATCAGATCTTAGATCCATGGGTTTATATTCTCCTTCGAAAAGCCATTCTAACACAACTCTATACAATTTCAATGCGGTGTTTGGGAAGAAAAAACATTGACCTTCAAAAATGGAATTGCAATTCAGTACATAGTTCAATTAAGATTGCAACTATAGAAGGCACTCTGGCTTCATCTAAAAAACATCTGAAAGTAACTACAACAACTTAAAAACAATAATGCTTTAGTCTATATGCATGAGCTGTATAATTGTTGATGCATTTTTGTCATATGGCAACAATACGTTACAGTGCAAAGAGATATGTTCTCTTTTTGTGATGTTGTATGCATAGATTTGTTTAACTTTGATGGTTTGATTGAAACCACAGTGCTTTTAGGGGCACAGCCAAATTTTTTTTCCAAATTTATAATAGAAAACCGAAGACTCCTATGTGGTTGTAAAGTCATCAGAAACATTAAGTTCTGTTTTATAGTTTTATCAATAATAATGCTGTTTAAATCAATGTTTAGGCATTTAGGGCATTTCCAATCATCAGAACTCATATAACTAGCTTTGAATATTGATTTATTCATTTGTCTATTTTTCTGACATATCAGTCCTGGTGAAGATTGCTTTACATTAATGAAAAAGTGTCGCTCTTTCAAATTGAAAGGAGCGTTATGCTGTTAATTACTTTCATTTTTAGTTGGAATAATTAAAATATGTGAAGGGTACGTAGAATTTTTGTGAAAAATTGCTCCATTACATCAGCTGGAATGACATTTATGATTCCATATTCCCAGCTCCCACTGAAAGTGTTGCTACTGATAAAGCAGGAGTGGTAGGTACATCATTGGAAATTAATAAGGAATAAATGAGCAGATTGCTCCATTAACCATAGTAATTAGGAACTACTGCTCCTTTAATTTTCAGGATACATGATAGTTCCTGGTGCAATAATATGTCAGTATAATTACCAGCTGTTAAAATTGCTGCTATAGTAGACACTCTGGCTTCAACTTAAAAAATTGTGGTAAGCAATTATTCTGGCTTTGATTTTATTTTGAAAACTGTTCACTTTTAAATTTGGCCATCGACTATTGACAATTAAAAGATTAAGGGTGAATGAAATACCTCTATTCATTGTTTTGGGCAGTTCATGTATTGTGAGAACTTTTGAAGATTTTAGCAACCAGCTCCGGAAGGATTTGACAAGTTGCTACACTCACATATTGGCTGATAACTGTGGGAACAGTTACCATATTTGTTGCACTTTTGGGCTTTACTTTTCTTCATAAAAAGAGAAAGAACAAGACGCACACAAAGTATGAAAAACTCAACACTTTATGCTTTCTTGTGAAATACAGTTTTATTTTCTCTCATGAAACAGATGTTTTGGGCTTCAACACATGTCCAGCCAGCCTTACTCTTTGAAGCAACAACCATAGGGCAACAATAATAATAATAATAATAATCCTTGCATTTGATATAGCGCTTTTCACATCTTCTAGACGTCCCAAAGCGCTTATTTTCCTCTGGATCTTAGCAGTGGGATACATTTAAAGGGATTATTGTGCAATTGATCAATGTGAAGCGGAGGAAAGAAAGAATAGTTTGCATTTTAGATTACCTCTTTAATGAAACTCAGGACACAATTAATTAAAAAAGATATTGAAAATGTATGCATCTCAGAGGCACTGTTAGCAAAATCTGTCAGAGCCGAATTAAATTCCACCAGTGGAACATTAGGTACTGTAACTCTTTTGTGTGCTGTGCAGGCAAAGTGATTACAACACTGATGGGATGTTGTAATAATGTAGTATATGAAACTTGTGTTCTGGATTCAAATTTTTTCCCCTCTGTATATCTTGTTTCAAAGGTTATTTATTCATTTTGGGTATGTAAAGGCTGAGCCTGCTCGTGACATTTTAAAGAACTACTTGTGATGTATTTTTTTATTGGCTGATATTATAAACATTTTAAATCATATTCATTGTGTTCATATTCATCCACGATGTACGTGCAATGGAAATACATTTTGAATTCTCAAAGAAAATTTGATTAGAATGTCTGTGTTTAGTTTTGCAACCCACATAATTGGACACATCCATCAATATTTGTTCTTAAGACAAATGCAAACTATTGATTTAGTGGTTGCATACTCTCCAATTTTAGTGAGTGGAACAAATGGCAAATGGGACAAATGGTAATCACTTATTTGTCAACCATGCCAGTCACCGATGGAGCCTTTCACTTTCAGGGAAGTGTTGGTTTACAATACATCTCTGCACTTATGTTTGTCAGGCCTGGCTCAATTGGTGCTCTCTCACCTCTTTGATTGTGGTCTCATGTTAATTACTCTTATTTACATACAGGAAAGAGTGAGAAGGTACTCAAATTCACATCCAGGGGATCACTTTCTCCCCTGCCCCTACACCCACCTAACAATAGACACCTGCACATCTCTCCTTGTGGTTCCCGCTCAGTCACCTTCAATGAAATTCAGCATAATTTTTTCCCATTGAACCGTTTATTATGGGGCTATTGAAATATACTTCATTTCATGAATATTACTATTTAAGTGGTTCTTTTTATTACTTCTGCATGGAAATTCGGCTAACATTTACAGCATCTTCAAATGTAATGGTTAAACATTTAAACATAAGTTGCGCGTCATTATTTAATCACTTCGTGCAGGGAATGAGCAGCCCAGTGACGACCATGGAATTTATATTTTTATCAATATTTCAATTGTTTCCACTTGTTTACTTCTGCATTCTCTCATTTCTTTCATTAATCCCTCAACTAGAAACCAGCTTTTAAAGATTTCACAAATGGTCCCTCTGAACTTCATTATTATTGTGAATTGGCTGTTAACCTACTGAGGTGTCAAGCACAGTATATTCTTCAAAGCCTGTATTACTTTGCTACAGCGGGTATTTTTTATTAGAGGGCTCATGACCTTTCCTTTGATCTTACATCCTGGAATTCTTTATTACATGATGCCATTTTCAAAGTTTATTGCCAATGCTTTATAGACAATCAGTCATTCTCTGGGACAGATAAGGCTGGTTCTTCAGACATCAATAAAGCTTTGTCAAAGCTTTGTACATAATGTAACAAACTATTTGACATAATACAGAGACAATCTTACCACCATCAGAGAAAATTTAGTTTATTCTATGAAGATTTTGTTAAAAGTGCTTTGAAGGTTTAGTCATTTTACTAAAAAAGGATTTTACTTTCTAATCAGGTTTGTTTCCGGCTGCTGTCAGTGGAAAAGGAGGTGGCCACTTTTTCTTCCTCATTTGATCTTTCACACTGGGTTTACAGCCCACATTGCTATGCAAAACACTTGAAGATTCCTACCATCATTCTTGGACTCAAGTCTTGCCGACAAAATTGTACAGTCACTACACTTTACAGTAAATCCTGTGAAGCGCCTTGAGATGTCCTTTTGTTGTTGAGAGGATGTCTCCAAGCATTTCACAGGATTTCCTCACACAAGATCCCACCAACCAACCACGAAACAACCTGGAGGTTCTGGAGGATCCAGAGGAGAGTTTCTTCTGGAGGAAAGGTACAGAAACATGTCTATGTTTCTCTTTTCTATATCTTGCTTTCTTGCTTGCTTGCTTTTCTCTCTCTCCTCTATCTTCCTCTCTCCTTTACTCCCTCGCTTCTTCTCTTTTTGTTTTTTCTTGCTCCTGTCTTTCTCTCTCTCTCTCTCTATGCAGTCATGAATATGGACTCAGGAATCAGCAGGAAGTTCACTCTAGCCAAGATCCACAGGCAGTCTGAGAGCTGCTGATCCTGGGCAAGAATAATGCCCAGTGCCTCAATCACTCTTTATCTAGGAGCAGTATCTCACCACTGTGTGTGAGGATTTTACTTTCTAGACTACCAGATAACGTATAACAAGATGTCATTGATTGACTACCATTTTCAAGCAATTTCTAAATCTTACACACATTTATCTGCAATATAAGTAAAACTAGTTTGCTAAAATTTAAAAATATATTCTCATTTCATGAAGATTTTGACTAAATTGTGGGACATTAGATAAATGCAAGTTGGTGTTATTTGTTACTGATACTGACAGTGTTTTTTTTATAAAGAGTGACTTGTTTTTCAATATTGCCATAAACTTCTGAATCCCCAGAATTAGAAGAAACTCAAAATTAAGGCCGAGTATTCCCTCTGCTGGCTATTGTATGCAACATCAGAGCTGGAGAGAAAACAATGTGAACATCAATGTGCTTTTTGTCTAAGCAATGCCCAAATCAATTGACAACCGTCAGTCAATTTCATTCACATTATAGAGTCTTAATTGAGATTCAATGCCATGAAAGCATTTTCAACAGAAGGTCCTATATTTTTGACCTTGAAAACAAATTTTTGATTGTTTTGCTGATTTGTTTTAAATCCCAGCATACAATACACTTTTGTAACACTTCCTGTTTCACTCTCGTTAGTGAGTGAACCGAATTGATCATTCTTTGGGGTGAGTCTCCTGAAAACTTTGTAGTTGGAGCTTTATTTTTTATTTCGGGACATCCATAGCTTTAAAATCATAAGTCTCTTAGTTGACAAATAAAATGGGATCATTGTAATAAGATGACAGTGTGGCTGCACTTAAGGGGAACTATCAGAGAGGTAGAAGGCCTTGGAATCTGTGAGCTATTTTATGGTGGATTTCATTCTATGTGTCTCATTTTATAAGACGGACACATTTTACTGGACAATTGGAAAGGGATTATAAGGTTAATGGAATGGATAATAAGATCTTTGTTTCTCCCTATAATCTCTTCCTCCCGACATGAAAGGCACTATACAAAGGTAATTTTGTTGCTGTTTTCTTTCCTTTCTATGCCTTTGTATTCCCTTTCTCTTCTCCCTTTCTTGCTTTCTTCTTTTTCTCTCTCCCTTCTATCTTCCTCTCTTTCTCCTTTCTCCCATTTTCTTTCTCTCTCTCTCTCTCTCTCTCTCGCTTTCTCATTCTCTGCAGGAATCAGTGTGTTCCATAAGGCAGTCAGAGCTACTGATTCTGGTGGAGAAAAATGGCCTTTTGTCTCAATCACTATCTATGGGCAGTAGATCACCATTCTGTTTAAGGATTTTACTTTCTGGCCTGCCCTATTCACAGATTTAGTTTTTTTTTAAAGTTATCAGCATTTGTTCTGGATTCCCCTATTTACCTTGTAAATGATTATCATTATCTTGAGTATTTTGCAGTAAATCTTCAGAGGGCTAATGTAAGCTTCAGAATTCTATAGCGTGCATCAAAAACATATGATACTGAAGTAATATTTATGTAGCACCTTTTCCTTTATAAATTGTCAATGAAAACCATGATTCCTAAAACAATACGCAACTTCTTGTTTTTAGCATGTTGAAGATGAAGTCTAGACTTGCAACAGAAGATGAGAAGCAACTGTATCAACTTCTTGGAAACGTAAAGCTGCATTTACTTTACAAAGCCAGTTACCATGGATTTGCTTCTGATACGTTTCGTCACAAATGTGAGAATGAAGGACCTACTTTAACAATTGGATTCAATCCATCAGGTTGCATATTTGGAGGCTACACACATGAGAGTTTTCCTATGTATGGAAGTTTAGTTGATAACCATGCTTTCCTTTTTCGAATAAACAGTTCAAAGAAGAAACCTTTAAAATTTCCTGTGACAAAGGATGCTGATGCTCTGTGTAATTCACAAAAGGGCCCTAATTTTGGAGCTAGCCTTATCTTTCTGACCAATCAGAAAAAAAATCACAATTAATCTTTCTCAGTCTTACATATTTGAAAAAGGTGATTTGTGCCGAAATGATATGGATCTTCAAGAATGTGAGATTTACCGGGTTGAAGGTAAGGGATGTTCAATTTTGCTGCTAGAAATGGCATTGAAATAAAGTGTAGTTGATTTATGTAGTTAATATCAATTTTAAAGTGTTCTGTTTTATCTGCATTCATAATTTTACTTTTTCAGCATTGAATACACCCTGGAGGAATATCACGTGGACAACTGAGTAAGTTTTTCTTAAGTAAGACTATTAATGAGTTTTTCTCTTAAAGGAGATGGCATAGACCCAATGCTGTAAATTTCTATGATGATGAAAGGTATAAAACAGATCTTCACACCACCAGTCCAGCAAAAATGTGCAAGGATCAAATCAAAGAAATATTTTGGGCTTACCTCACCACACAACACACATTCCATTCCTCCTTGACTGATGGATACTGTGAAGCTACAGTTAGAAGGCCACTCTTTTATATATGGTCCCCACATGCATGTACTTTGAAAGCAATCTGTGAGATCACAAAGTCCTAACAAAGACTAACCTCTCAGTCCTTACAAATCTAGATCTTTGTCTGTTGGGTTAATTCATCAAAGAACAAGGATGCACCTCACAAAACAGCAGAAATTCGGTTGCTGGTGCTCAAGAGGTAAATCCACAATGTATGTGTGGATGAAATACCAGTGCCAATCAAAATGAGTTACATGTGGTCTTTGCCTAGAACTGGAACTGATGTACTTTTCTGTCTGCAACAAAACTTTACTTGGGCATTGTTTGTAACTTCCTCTATTAACTTCTATCCATTTCACTATAATCCTTCTCCTTGATTTCCTTTTGCTCTCCATACTAATGGAGTATTAGAATTAGTGCAGGATAATAATGGTATCAAAAGCTCTCTGGATGAGTAATTAAGCTGTAAAAAGGGACCATGGAATGTCAAAACTGAGCCAACTCTCTGTGGCAGCCTCAGTAATCCAATTCCTGAGCCAGGCGGGTCCGCAGTATTCCAGGGCACTGCTTGGCCCAGCAGCTTGGCTCATCGGCAGGATTGGAAGAGCAGAGAATCACTGGGGGCAGGACCTCTTCCCACTCAGCTCCTTACAAGTCCAAACCCTAACGGGTACGGTGGTCCTAGCTGGATAAACAGTGATAAAACTTGCCAGATAGTGCTTTCAATGGCAAGCTGTGCAATTTTAGCTGGTTAAACTCTGGCAGTATCCCAACACACACACTGGGGTCCCCAAGCCTTGGCTCTTCCAAAACTTTGCCCAGTTTGCCTAAGTTAAGTAAGCAGAATGTGTCCCTCCAGGGAGAGAGTGTGCATTCCATTCCAATAAATATCTCTGGAATTTCCATATATAGATGGGTTGCATGGAATTCTCAGTTTGGTTTAGATACTCGTAAGTGTGGTGATGGGTTTCCTCAGGTGTCAGACTATAATTTGCATTTTTCAGCAACTCGTATTTTACACATCAGTTTAAAAAAAGAATTAGTTAACTCACCCCAAAAAAACAATAACTGAAAGTATGTTTTACTTTGGTATGTGAGAAAAGAATACGGAATACAAGGCTTTATAAGTAGGGGCATAGAATACAAAAGTTAGGAAGTTATGATGAACCTTTATAAACACTGGCTAGGCCTCAGCTAGAGACTGTGTTCAGTTCTGGACACCACACTTTAGGAAGGATGTCAAGGCATTGGGGAGGGTGTAAAGGAGATTTACCAGGATAGTACCAGGAATGAGGGACTTCAGTTATTAGGAGAGGCTAGAGAAGCTAGGATTATTCTTCTTGGAGCAGAGAAGGTTAAGAGGAGGCTGAAAAGAAGTTTTCAAAATTATGAGGAGATTCGATAGGGTGAACAAGGAGAAATTATTTCCACTGGTGAGTGGGTCGGTAACCAAGGACACTGATTTAAAATAGTTGTTAAAAGAAACAGAGGGGAGGTGAGGAGAAATTTTTTCACACAGCGAGTTGTTCGGACTTGGAATGCATTGCCTGAAAAGGTGGTGGAAGTCGATTCAATAAGAACTTTTAAGAGAGAAGTACATAATTATTTGGGGAGGTCACGTTTGCAGGGCTGTGGGGAGAAAGCGGTGGAGTGTTGTTGATTTGGATAGCTCTTTTCAAAGAGCTAGCACAGACACGATGGGCCGAATGGCCTCCTTCTGTTCTGTATAATTCTATGATTCTATGAAGTTAACTAATTGCTTTTTGTAAATTGATGTGAAAAATACCATTTTGAATAGTAATAACTATTCCTGCTGAATTGCAGGATTATCCTTTGCGGCTGCCCTTAAGACAATCATTTCTGTTACATATTTAAGTTAGCAGCAGTGTCTGAATTAGACAACAAATATTCTGATCTGGATAAACTAGAGTGTTTTCTTAAAGGAAAAGAACTGAATTGCTTAAATTTATCGAGAACTACAAGCCACTTGCCAGTTCCGTATCTGAGGCCCGAGTTTTGTTTGTTGGACCAACTGGATCAGGAAAATCCAGCTTCATCAATTCCGCAAATTCTGTTTTCCGTGGGCATGTCACCTGTCGAACATTAGCTGGCAGTAGCACAACAAAGGTAACTATGTAAATGTAATGCATTGCACTTGGAAGCTCTATGTTAACTACTAAAGTAGATTTCACTTTATCTGATAATGTATCTGTATCATTGCAGTATGCAACATACACCATAAAAGCTGGAAGAGATGGCCTGTACCTGCCTTTCATTCTTTGTGATTCAATGGGAGTTGAAGAAAGTAAAGGTTTAGGGATAGTTGCTGGTGACATTACCAAGATCATTGAAGGACATGTTCCTGAAAAGTATCAGGTAATTTACCCAGTACAAGGTAACCCTTTTATCATGCAGTCGTCTTGAGTCCAACATATCTGCAGACGTGTTATAAGTGAGGCACAAACAAGTGGCTAACTTCTCGGTCACCAGCGACTTCTTGCGTGATGTGCGCAGGTCCGCCACTGATGCCACTTCCTTTTTCAAAGTAATATCAGCAGCACTTCTTGCTCACAGCTTGTATGCAGGAAGTGATGTTACTGGAGTTTGCTGTGCGTAGCACATGTGCACAGCACACAGTAAATGATATCAAGGCAACCAATTTTTAATGTAAGAAAACGGTTTGTTAGTCAGCACCTGAAGTCGGATCTATTATGCTTAAACTTAGTCCAGATCACAGGACACCAGTGCTCTAAATGAAGCTGCGCTATACTTGGGGATGTTATAATGGGTTTTCCCACTAATAGGTTGTTTTCACACCCTTTCCTGGCTGATAGAGCAGGGGAGTGATTTGATCCTTCTTATGTTAATGATTAATTTGTTGCTTCGAGTGTCATGGGAGAAGCCTGGCTTGGCATCTACAAAGCATCCCATGATAAAACAGTTGCAATTCATCTTTCACCATATAAGAAATTGCATTTGTGAAACTGTACCCACAACTCTGTGCTACAAAGTGCTGCAGTATATTATGCCTCCAGTGTGTTGCTCAGCCATTGGTACCTCCAGGAAACCATGGTGATGGCTCCTTGTGTTGCTCAGCTGTCCTGTTCCTTGCCCATAATGGACTTTGATCCTTTTGCAGGAAATGGGTTGCTATTTGTACCAGAATCAACGAAAATGCTGTTGTGTTATAAAGAATGCAGTCATTGATAACTACACTTTCTGCAGCAGGTGGAATACTTTGAAATCTACGTGAAAATAATTCAGCTATTTTTCTTGTAGTTTAATAGCTCTTCGCCAATTGTTCCTGAAACAGCAGGCTACATTAACTCTCCCACGGTTAGTGAGAAGATACACTGTGTGGTACTTGTCATTGATTCAAGCAAAGTTGCCAACCTGTCTATCAAAGTGGAGGAGAGAATCCGTGGCATTCAATCTGAGTTCAATAACCTGGGTGAGTGTTGTGATCCAATGAATACTGTTGATCTGAATAAAGTGTTATTTTGAAGCTCACAGATGTTTGTTTAAAGGTCCAAAACCTCAGCACGCATACACTCAAGTCCATGGCTCCATGCAACTGATTAGGTTGAGTCACTATCTGAGAAGGCAGATGTCTTAAAAGTGGAGGATTTAATGTGATTATTTGGTAAATGCAAAAATTTGGAAGAACATGTGAAATGTGTCTTACCTCCTCCCCACTATCACCAATCCAGTTTCCTTCAATAAAATTCTGAAGACAATAATTTGTGGTGGGATATGGTTCCATTGACAATCAGCCTGATATCTCATTCAAGTAGTATGCCATAGGTACTGCTCTGTATTGATATCAGATATAATTTTGTCTTCTGGGCTTACTGGATATCAATAGGAGGTGAGAGCTTGATTCATTTATGGGAGGGTGTGCCTCTCACAAACCGAGGCCAATAGTATCTCCACTAGCGTAGTCCTGAGTGAAATCAGCTAACCCAGACAGGAGGTAACATTTTAAAACTGGAGTATGTTTTATAATTAATTCTACACAACCTCTAAATACAGTAGTAAAAAGTCAACTTAATTATTTTTGCCCACATAGGCATACCGCAGGTTGTTTTACTAACAAAGGTGGATAAAGAGTGTCCTATGGTCCTGAATAACTTGGAAAATATTTACCGGAGTGAACATATTGAGAAAAAGGTAAACAACAACAACAAATTACATTTGTAGTAGCGCCTTTCCCGTCAGGAGGACGTCCCAAGGCTCTGCAGTATGAATTCAGTAACCTTATTGAATGCACACTTGTTGACATCCAAAGCAATATTGTACAGTGTTGGGTTTGAAAAGATACTAATCATATTTTTTTTGTTCTAGGTACTTGAAATTGGGGAGCGATTTGGGATTCCAATTTCATGCATAATCCCCGTGAAAAACTATTCATCAGAGCTTGAGCTGGATTGTAAAGTGGATATCTTGATACTTTCTGCTCTTGTGCAGATGCTACGCTATGCAGATGATTATTTTGAAAACCTTGAAGATTAATTTGCAAGACTATGCACAAATTAACAAACATTTGTGTCTTTTACTTTTCATGTTAGTGAACTTTTTTTCTCCCTCTGACCAGACCACGCCTGTAATGTCAACCTTAGCTTTTTCTTTTGGATTTAAAATAATTAGCAAGGGAGCAAAGGGAGAGATGGCAAGGAATTTCTTTACACCCAGAGTTGTTATGATGTGGAATGTCTAAGAACTTGGGTTTTGGTGACTGTACAATAGGGAAAAAAACGCTTTCTAAGTTGTTTAATTTTGTTTCCTAATGCTAGTTGTTATTGATATGATTTACTTTCTTTGTTTTTTTACATTTTATTGTAAGTAAATTTAGTGTTTGATTTGTCCAAAAATTCAAGTGAATTTACTTCTACAATCCATGTTGATTTAACTTCCTATATGACGAATAATTGAGTTAAATTTAGTGTTTATATCTGTTTATATAAAGGCTGTTAACTTTAGGCAGGTTCCATATTTCCAGGGATGAGGAGTCTATTCGCTTGCTTTAAACATAACCTTAACCCTTAGACTGACAGCAGGTCTTTTGAGATTGCGTCTCTCTGTGACTGTTTGCTCTGATTGCAGCCAAATACTCCGTGCTGAGAAATGCTAATTATAGTCATACTGTATAGATGCTGAAACAGAATATCCAACATGTATAACTGTAATCTTATCTCTAAGCTATAGCAATTAAATTGGAAACAATTTAAAATTTTAAAACTGGATCTGTGCTTTATTTGTCATCACTTTTATTTTCTCTTTGTAATCTTTCTCATTTATTTGATCTATTTTCCTTGTTGGGGAGGTAGGTGGGGTCGAGCTGGCTCCAAGATTATGTGTTTTACAACAGAATGTTGGAATTCAGTCAGTGCTCTGTGGTGGGCCATGAAGTAAAATTCCTGCACACAGATTAGTCAGCCTGGCTTGTCAGCAGGACTTGGAGGGGTCACTGGGAAGAGGGAATTCTTCCACTCAGCTCCTGTTAACCCTGTAAACCAAAATACTAATGGGTATGATGGTCCTAGCTGGACAAGCAGCAGAAAGCTTGCCTGTCAGCGCTCTCAATTGCAAACAATGCAAATTTAGCTTAAATTCAATTTAGGTTAAATTCAAGCAGTATCTCAATGCACACTCTGGAGTTTCCATGTCTTGGGAACTTGGGCCTTTTGTCAACTTGGCCCTAAGGAATTTTGTAAGCAGGGTGCATCACTCCCGTGTGCATTCCTTTCCAGACACGGGAACAGTTCTATGCATAGGTGATATGCACGTGTGAACTTTAATCTGATTTGGATTCTCTTAACGGCATTGCTTGACAACTAATCAAGTTCTTCATTTTGTAAATAGAAACATCATGTAAATTGTTTAATCCTTTAAAATGTGCATCACACTAAATTGGACATAACTTCATAGGATTAGTTTGCTGACCGATGAGTTTATTAAGTGTCACAGGTGACAATTCAGAACATCTGAGCTACTTCATTTTAAAAGGTGTTAAACACATCACCTTTATCATTAAATCTTCTCTATCTATTGCAGTTTACAATTGCATTAGTAATACATGTATTTAATATTAATGACAGAGCTTTGCGATAATGGATTCAAAATAGTTTCTCAAATATCTGCCTTGGTACATTCAGAAGCACATGAACAAGCAGTGTGGGCTTCAATGACATCCTGCAAATCTTCATTCTTCTGATCGAGATTGGCAAATCTTCTCTGTTCAGCTCTATCAGTTATGAAGGAATCTGTAAATTATTAAGCAATATTTTGATGAGGATGAGACTAATCTTTTGGGAAAGCTACTAGGATCTTCTAACTGTTGAATAAAAGTGACATTAATATTCACATTCAGCAAATAATTGGGATAGATCTTATTATAACAGTAAATTTTAAACCAAATACAGTAGAAGCTTTCTCATATGAACATTACTGTGGGAAAAATTCTTTATTCAAACTGTTTCTATTAAGCAACATAATAAAGAGTGATTTTTGTCAGTGCTTCTTGTTAACTCACTTAATTAAACTACTGTTTGCTATGAAATTGAGACATACGAACCCCAAAATATCTCAGGTTAAATCCCTGAGCAACCTGATCTCAACCGGGGCAGGAGGAGGCCAAAGCTCAATTGGCCTATATTGAACCTTCCTAGGCTAATAAGGAAAAAATATCAGTCAGGATGCCTGAACAATCCAGTGACCCTGATTGGAAGGTATATATTTATGTGGGCAGCAATGATACTCACATGGCTAAATAGCTTACCAATCCTTCCTGTCTAGGCTTACATATGAAGAATTATTTCAGCGGAGCGGGAAGGGCAGTGGAATGGGGGTCGGGGGCAACAAAACATGATTTTATTCTACCGACTGTCAAGTGTGGATTTTTCTACAAAGGGAATGCTTTTAATATTCAACAAAAAAGTTTGATAATAAAGTAATTCATTTTTAATGGTTACAATGTTGAATTATTCATAATCTAGCTTAATTGAAATAGCAAAGCCCAATGACTCGAGAATTAATTCTAAAACGTACCTGCTGGAAGACAGTGGAAGCCAACAGATACAGGGACAGTTTTAATTGGCGAACACCCAGGTCGACAGTGCAGGACTGGTTCGACTGAAAAGCAATTTGATTCCTGTCCATGCAGTTTGATCTGCTTCTCCAGTTTCACAATTTTCTTCTGCAGTTTACATGCTGAAATTATTATAAAGGAAATGGTTATATGATAATCTTTGTACTTGTTAAAATAGAATCTTATAACGTCAAAACCTGCCTTTTGGCATCTCCCCTTCCCTCACTCACCCCCTTGCTGTCCTTGTAAAACTCTCAAAGACTTTACCCTACGTATGAAGGATTCAATATGCAAGTTCCTGCCTCAAAGCACTTCACTCAGTTTATAAAGTGTGGTTATTGTGTAATTTTAGGCAGACACAACAGCTCATTTGCACTCAGCAATGTCCGACAAACAGCCATGAAGCGCTCGATTTTTATATAATCTAATAATTTTTTAAAATTATAGCCAAGATGACAGAATCTGTTATCTGTAGTGCTAAATAACTATGGGGTAAAGTTGGTGGTGTTTCACAACATGTTTCTTGTGTTAACACATGGAAACACATTACGAATGCCCAAAATGTTACCTCTGTGCAAACTGGTCAGGTGCTCACTGGACTTGTTGTAAAATAAAAATCAAGGAGTTTTAATTATCCTAGAATTGGACTACATTATCATAATGTAAAATGTTATTATTAGTATTATTATAGCTTAGGGTTTTGTGGTTCAGCCTTCCATTAATGTTTGAAATACCAAAAATATATTTTGCAAACGAATTGTTATACTGTGCAATTTAATGGCATGCCAACCAGAACATACAATCAGGGCCAGTGAATGGTTATTATCTATTATATTTAAGTCAATTATTATCATAATGTAACAAATTGCATTAGACTGCACCACAAGGCACCAGCATTAAAATCGCTCCAAACACTTTAATTTGAAATTTGTTCAATTTTGAAATATTCTAAAGTGAAATATTTATTCGCTAAAATGTGTGCCACGCTGCTCCTGGTTTTGCTAAGATTATCTACAGCAGACACAGCTTTTGTGCTTTGATTTAAGGCCTTAGCTTGCCGCTTTGGAACATAACCATTATATGAGCCATTTATTGTATTATACATGACAAATGTATAGTGCTGCTTAAATAAATTGCAATACATTTGAAAACGAAATTTAATACTCAGATATTTGAAGCTTATTACCCATTTTATTTAGATTATTTTAAGCAAGGGGACTGAAATCCAGCGAGAGATTTTTAAAGGTTGTTGATAATGTAATCACTCATAATTCTAGCCTGCTGACTAAGATAAGTAATTCTTATTTAAAAATAAATTATTTAAGACGCCTTGGGACATCCTCCCGATGTGAAAAGTACGATATAAATGTAAATTTGTATTGTATTGCAATTTAGCTCTCCACAACTGCTGCTATTTAATATATTTAACGGATAATCTTGTTTTATTACCATCACTGCAACGCTCTCCTGCCAGTAACCATGAATGGGCAAATTTGACAACATCCTTGGTTGATTGTCCATTTGGTAGATTGTATTCATTTCTGGTTTTTAAATCACCATATCCACATAAACCACAGGTTCTCCCAGTCATCCATGAAGCTACAACAACCTAGTTCAGGCATGGAAAAGAGTCCTGATTTTAGCAATAGGTTAATTAAATGGCAACCAAACCCTTAATCTACAGGGAACAAAGTTTTCAAATATAGACCCAAGTAGTTCATCGGTTTGCCTTTTGATAAACAAGAATATGACAAGCTAGACAGTCAGTACATTGATCTCGATTCACCATTTTATTCCTTCACATAGGAGGGGGCTCTTAATCGTTTTAATCCCATTCTCTGTTTTATCTCCATAACTAAAATAAATCCTTTCACAAGGTCATACTGTTACATATTTGTCATTTTGCTGCGGCTTTTCCCTTCTTTTTTCTCTGCCATTCTTTGCTCTCAGGCAGATTGAAGTCCATATGAAACAAAACTATTGGTTGTTAACTGGGCTTGTTTTCAGACACCTGTTTTTCTGGGCTGTTTGACAATTACTCATTAAGCTCTAAAGACTTCAACACATTAATACGATCAGGTTCTTTCACTGTTCCAGGTTCCAAACTGGTTGAAAACAAAAGAGTTTTTTCAACTTTTTTCAGTGAATCAAGCGACAGATTTTTTTTTAAGAGAAGTAGGTCCCAAGTTCGGAATGAATGGTGGAGCATTGGCGGAAACAGAATAAAGGGTAAGTTTTGTATCTTTTTACATGTGAAATGAATAGCATGTGGAATAGAAGTTATTTTTGGAGAAGCAAGATAAGGATAAAGTAAAATAAAAGAACAGGTAGAGTAGGGTCAATGTTTGTTTTAGGACTGGGTTTAAAGAATGTATTTTACTGATATTCTGATGTCCTTTGTCTTATGGCCATATCATTTCCTGCTGGAAGTATTAAACAGGAGGTAAGAAAATAACATTAAGTACCAAGCACCTTGATTCTTTTGCCATCGAAGTAAAGCTTCTCCAAGCCAAGTTCTGCAGCTTCTATGATTACTCTATCATTGTCCATGTCAATAGTTATGGATTCTGTAAGAGCAAACATCATTTAAGCTTGACACAGAATAAAAAGTTCCAACTGCATAAAGAGATTTACAAAATGTATTGTAACTTATTAAAAATATTATGTGCAGGTTAATGTTTTCAGGGTGTTTCGCTTGCTGGCTTTGTCCTTTCGCTTGCTCTCCTGAAGGTAGTAACATCTGCTCAGCTGTGGTTCCCCAGGAGTGTGTGCGCCCTCACACGTGTTTCACTCTGGCTGTTCTTCATGTTTGAGCCACGGCAGTTATTGTTGGCACAGGCTTCGTGCACTGAAGGGTATTTGCAGGTGATCTGTTTTTACCTGATGTCCATATGCTTTGCAGCTTGGGTCATTGGATTGGATGGATGGTGAGGAGGAGCAGGAACACTAGCTTTTTGAATGCTATTGCCAGATGGGTTTAAAGTTATCAATATAGTAGAATCAATTATATAACATGGAAATTCATCTCAATGTATTGATGTGAAATAGGCACAAGGGCACACAAGGAATGTTATCAAAACTATTGAAAATGTAACAAGGTTGCACCAATTACACACCGCAAGGATTTCAGATCAAGTTTTTTTTGTTAAATGAAGGTACATACTTGGAAGTGGAAGTCTTGTGATTGGCATCTCAGTGCCATTGATGAATAGTCTCAAGTCTCCTGAAGGCATGGAATCTATTTCAATTCCACTTGAATAAAATGGGGGGAAAAAAGCATGTCAGCACAAAATATAATCCCGTCAACATTTCAGATTTAATGATGCTACTGTTACTTACCCAGAAGGCAGACTCAGGATTAGTGACATTGAGTTAGGTGATTCTGTGGCACGTTTGATCATTATTATGAACTTAAGTTCAGACGTACAATCTTGGGTCAATATATGGGGACAGTCACCAGGCATTTTGTACTCAAAGCTGTTCTCAGTAAATGGTGTAAATTTATTTTCCCTGACCGTACATTCATCTGGAAAAATAATTTACAATAGTTAATTTGTCATCAGAATGGCCATTTAATGCTGAGCTGGTTTGTGATGAAACCTGAACTGTTTATTGTGTTAACACTGTCAATGTATGAATCAAGTATCATTCATTGCTGCTTTTTTCATGATGGCATAAATGACTCTGGGATGCTGAAAAGATGCCAAGAGAGTTTTGTACCACAAGACAGACTCGCATCACAAGAGAAGTTTGGTTGATTAAGATTCTTTGAGCAATTTGATGCTTCCAGAATACCAACCTTGGAGTCGAACTATTTCTCATTTGAGTCCAGTGTCTTGGCTTTGACTCCCTTTCCTGTTAATCTATCCCATTTGTTGATGACTCACTATGTAAATAAATAGTTCCTGGTGTCAGTTCTATACTTGACTTTCACAACGCTCTCGTACTGCTTCCTTGGCTCTTGACATAACACATTAAAAGCTGCTAAAAGTGGGTGACCAACCACTGTAGTTTAATTTTGACTGTCTCTGAAACCACATACATCTCACTTTCAAGTGTCACTGGTCACTTACGTTATTCTAACATTTCCCTGAATGAAATAGATCTCTGCATTATATTACACTGTGTGTGAATCACTGTTACAATGTACATATAGAGACAGGAGGCTGCATCATAACTCTTTCCAAACCTGATTGAATATATATAAAAAAGTAAAATAAGTCAAATAGCTTCAGTTGGCATGCTTGGATGAGGATAGATTTTTGGAAAGAAAAAAGAATAGTGCAAACACACCTTTAGCTAAAATCATGAATGGTAATTCACGAAGGATATGAAAACCACTTTGTTGCAACGATGGAGATTTGACATCAACAGGTAAAGCTACTGGTATAACAATGGCTCGGCGACTCAATGCAAGCTACAGGACAAGAAGAGAAACATATTGAAAGATTAGATTTAAAACACTGTGCTGCAGTGCAGTGCATTAAACATTGATAAGATTAGAGTTACCTTCGGTGTTTTAATAAACAAGTCAATGGTTCTTGGAGATGTTGCAGCTGCAGTCACTGACAGATGGTGTGAAGGACTTTTTTGATGTCTTTCGGAGAATCCCAACATAAAGGCAACACCTGGCAGATGTTCAGCAACTCTACAGTAAAGGATCTGGGGTTAGTTTTTTTTGCATCATTCTGAATGCACCATGTAGTGTAAAATTCATTATAAAATTCTTACATTTCAGAAGCGTGTTTTAGGAAATGAGGAACCCTGTCCCACTGCAGTTTGAACAGCATAGCTGGGTGGTGTTCATATTGACCTGTTGATGCTTTTGCAACAATCATATAGTCCTTGCAGTCTTTGCCCCATTTCAGCACTCCCTAAATTTTTATTTTAAGCAAATCAACAAGTCAGTATTTAGATTGCCAAATAAGTATTTGGCCTGCAATCAAATGCATTACGCATACACTTTAAGCAGGTTAATGAAAGCTGGAAGGATTGCTTATTTGTGATCGTATAATCCAACCAAAATTGAATTGGTGTATAGTTTGAAACTTATCTTGGTGTAAATGTACATTTTGATTCACATTTGATATCTTCTGTCATTTTAATAAGCTAACAAGTAGGGAGTAGTGTAAGCTGCATTGTGGTATATCTCTATTAGTGGCATTACATATCTATGGATTAGGGGAACAAATCTGGGACCTGCAGAGAAGGAGTTCATTCAAATGCCCTTGTTAACTTGCTGGTAAACATGGACAGTAACTTTTAGTATGTAACCTGTGAGGGAAATTAATGATGTCTTTTGTATCATGAGGGTTTCTACAATCCAGTACTGTTATGGTTGTGCTGTATTGATATCGTTTCAGAATTAACCATGGTTGTTTCTTGTTAATTATTTACTTAATTATTTTAATGTTAAAGTTTCACTTCACGGCTGTTTGTGGGACATTGCTATGTGCAAACTCACTTCCACATCTGCCTACAAATACACAGTCACAATACTGGACAGAAATCTTCTGTGAGCATCTTGGAGACATACTGAGATTTTTATGTCTCGGAGGAGAGGCGCCTGCTGTTTTTACTGTTTTGTGCCTCTATCCACTAGAGGTCAGTTGCTTCTGTTCTGGTTAAGATTACTGCTCTCTGAGTTAATCCGAGAGAACTAGAATAGAAGAAAGAGAATAGAGGGCACCAGAGAGAAATGAGAAGCAGGACAGGACACAGCTCAAGAAAAGCAATGGATACCAGGACAGGAAGCAAGGAAAAAGGCAGCAAGCAGTCGAGAAGAAAGTAACTGTTGGCGCTTCAGAATTTTTCTTTCAGATTTTTTGACAATAATCCCACCAGTGACCCAGAAACAGCCGCTGTTGAAGCAAGATGTGTTATCAACGTTTTAGTTAAATGTTGAAACGAAACTCGTGCGAATGAGAAGAAAACAAAACACCCAGAGGGATACATTACCATTGCTCTGTGTTCATTAGGCATTTCAGCTTCAACGCAGGCTCGCCACTTGCCTTCTCCTTCAAGTTCATCCACAAACAGCTGCATTGCAGGATGTGCTGCCATTCTGTCTACATAGGCAGTTGTCTGATAGCCCATCTTTTTGTTGTCACTCATTATGGCTTGAGCCAGCACCACAAATATTGGAGACATTGAGTCCCTGAGGAAGCTTGACTAGAGGTAGAATAATGGATTTAGAATGCATCAATTGTTATTCAGGAATACGAATGCAGTTGACTAATATTATAAAACAGGATCTTATGTTGAATATATGTTTACCTGAGGTGCGATATTTACTCTAATGCGCATGTCACCAAATGTTGAGTCATTAGCATTAACTGTTCAGCATCAATTCATAAATGAAGTGCCCTGATTATTTTACTGCTGACATACCTCCTGAGATGAGGATGAAGCTGAACTGGAATCACTGCTTCTCATCTCTGATCTGGATTCACGTGACCTTAGGGTGTATATCCTTCTGTTTAGCTGCTGCAATGAACACATAAGGCATGAATTGAAATCAATGGGGTTTGCAAGCATTAAAGCAAGACAATCCATGCATTATATCCTTTTCACACAAAGGTTGTGGGTTCAAGCCCCATATCACTACTTGGAATCCACAGTCTAAGCTGACATTCCAATGCAGTGCTGGGGAACGTGATGTGTTGTTGAAGGTGCTGTCCTGCGAATAAGACATTAAACTGAGGTCCCATCTGCATGTTCAGGTGGATGGTGTTAATCCTATGGCACTATTCAAAAAGAAGGGAGTTTCTCCTAATGTTCTGGCCAACAATCCCCAAATACAATTGGTCACTCACTCCATGGCTGTTTGTGGGACTTTTTTGTGCGCAATTGGCTGCTGCATTTTGCCCACAAAATACACAATCAATCCACTTTGCAGTATATCCTGTGAAGCACTTTGAGACATCTCAATGACGTGCTAAGGTTCTATATCAAATGCAAGCATAATTAATATAATAATAAAAAGTTCCTGAAATATCTGTGGACAACAAGAGGCTTGAATAACCAGGCTTTAGCAACCAACTGACTGACCTTAAAGTAAAATTAATTTGGTCACAAAGGGAACCTACATTTGCCTGTGACCAATCTTGCTTACTACAACATCAGTTTTTTTAATTCAATTTTTATTCACACTGTGTGCTAGTGATGCCTCTGACATAGAACAGATTTCAATGCTCAGCAGTGCGTGCAATTTACAGAAACAAGGTGGGCATTAGTGGTGCTGAATTAATATTAATTACTTTAATTCAAATACGTTTATGCTGAGCTATTGTGTTGCTGTTGGTCTACTTTGGCTGAAATAAGAGGAGGTTTGGCTGCAAAAGATGCCCATAGATTAAAGCAATTATTTGGCAAATGTTTGACAGAATGAATGGCAATCAACCGAATGCACACGAGGGAGGGGGAAAATATATGAGACTGATGGTAAAAGCAATTATACCACTTCAGCCCTCACCATTCAAGAATATAGATTTCCTCCCACCCAAATAGAGTGTGCAGAGGCACAATGGGCAGGGAGGGTCTGTTGATTTTTAAGGGGATAATTTTTAAGGGGATGACTTTTCCTTTGTCATGGGAAATTTTTTGATCAAGTAATATATTTACCAATAAATATATATTTTGTTTTTTAAAAAAGCTTTTCCTCCCCATGTGATGAAGTGCAATTCCGACCCACACAGAAAAGAAAGGTATAATAATAATCCTTGCTTTTGATATTGCGCCTTATCACGTCTTTGAGACATCTCAAAGTGCTTCACAGAATATACTGTAAAGTGTATTGACTGTATATTTTGTAGGTGAAATACGGCAGCCGATTGCACACAGCAACGTTCCTCAAACAGTCGTGGATTGAGTGACCAAATTTTTATTCATTTTGAAGGAATTATTAACCCCCGGAAAATATGGGTGAAACGCAATCAGAACAGTTGCATTCTGCTTGGGGCTCAGGAAAGCAGCAAATAGTCAAGAGTTTCTGCCTGTAGATTCGCAAAATACAAGCCCTCCTACCCTCTTCACGACCAAACCAAACCGACCCTAAGACCAAGAAAGTCTGTTGATACAATAACAATTCGCATTTGCTTTTCACTTTACAAGGATGTTCCAAGGAGCTCAACCCCACACATTTGCTGTACTAGAAGGTCTGCATATTTTTGATTGAAAAAAAAGCTCTTACTATTAATTATGAAACCACAGTATTTAACTTTGCATTAGTGGCAGATTGCTTGCATACTGACCTTTGCTGTTTGTCTCTGAGATTGGCAAAGCCACCACATAAATGTTAAGAGTTTAGTCATTTCAGTCTCTGGCTACTTGAACAATATCTGCTGTGAAAAGTTGAACCGCTAGATGGCACTATGTCTACGTGTTTTTCATTTAAAAAGGCCTCTTTTAGTTCATCTATAGTTCAGATGATTTTTCAGTCAACTTCAAATAGATAATATAATATAAATATGATTTAAAAATAAAATTCGATTTATTAAATCCAAACGGGCAAAGGGAAATTATCGAATAAGTGTTCTCCCACATCAAAACACGTAAAAAAAAAAAAACAGGGAAACGCATTAAAATATGAATTAATCAGCAAATCTATCGTACCAGGTTAACACGAGTTGGCTGGAAATTGTTTGAATACGTTCCTCCCTATAGCCATAAAGGAAGAGGTGGATGGTTACATTGACTTCTGAAGATGTCAGAATTTACATGGTAAAATATTTAGAACAAAACCCACTTACAATTATATAATGCCCTTTTACCTAAGATCATTTATTGAGACACTACCACGATAGACTCTGACGCCAAGCAAGGGAGAAAGGGGAAGGGAAAGTGTGACAAGTGGTCAAAATGTTTGGTTTTAAGGCAGGTTAGAGAGACGGGTTTAGAGGTGCAGGAGCTGAACGCATGAAGTCAAGAGATTAGTTCTACTGGAACTCACTTGTTTCCCTACATTGTCCTACCCAAAGAGCATATGTTTTTGCTCTAATATCAAGTAGCTGCACTGGTAGAATTGCTTTGACTATCAGTCTCATGTATATTCTCCCCCACCCCCAATCCTTTCCTCCCTTCCAAGTGTCTTGGAAATTTAAATAGGTGTTAGGATGTTTTTTTTAAAATGTGTCTTCATTATGCAAAATTGATATTTCCTTTTTTAAACTTACTTTACCGAGCTTACTTTTCTTGGTTTAACCTGAAAACAATACTCTGGCTTCCCCCTCTTCCGATGCTTTGCCGGCACTGTACTTATTGATGGATATTTACCTGAATTTGCTCTTTTGAATTTCGGAGTTTTCTCAAATTCAAAAGAGACATTTTACCGCGAAGTTCTATGTCCTCAGAGTCATCGCTTTGTTTCGTGTTATCTTTTCTTATTGAGCGGATCACTTTTGCACCTGCTTGCTCTCCTGCTTCTATTTCTATTTGTATCTTTTTGACCGGTGGTGTCTTGGCAACTAAATACAATATAGATACAAACAACTTTAAGCCATTTAATATTTTGAATTTGTTTCCCAAACTCCTCTACATTTCTATTCTCATCTACTGAAGGCAATGCTCTATGCTGGTTCCCAGATTTGGTTGCGCTCCAAAAATCTTGTCCAGGTGCTCGTTCCTCATCTGTGAGAGGAGACTGAGAGTTGCAGTTCATTAAAATATGAAGGGCATCACAGGGGAGGCCAATTCTGACCTCACCTGCTTGTGGGGAAAATCTCAGTGCGTTCACTGCTGATGAAATAATTCACCAAACCATAGCAGGAGTCTGTAATATTAATGTTGACTTCAAAATATAAAGTAAATATCTGATCCAGAGAATCTGGAATTCCCCACGACTATCAGTCTAAGGGCTACAAAAATGTTTTACTTTTGCAGATACATCAACTTTAAATTCACACGAGGTTACAAATATACATAATCCTTGACTTTACCTGGTCTGATTGATACTTCAAAGGCATTCTCTCCAATTGTTTTGTGTAGTGGAGAATCTCTGATGAAAGCGGTATTTTTTGCTTTAATCTGATAACAGACTTCAAATCCGAAAGTACTGCTTTCCACACAAACTTTGTGCTCTACGGGCTTTCGTTTATTTGACGCCTCTTCAGCGGAGCACACCGTTCCCTGTTGCACCGTAATAGGAGACTCTCTTGCCTGCATTACAATACCAATTTTAATCAGTTATATCATTCTAAAATAATCTGTCCCAAAACATTGCAAGAAAAGCTTTCTTTTACCATGACGTGTATAGAATCTCGCGATGTGTTTCTTGCTAACCCAAAGCCTCTGTTAATCATTCCCATCTCTGCTGCTGTTGGTAATATTGGGGTTATTTTTGCTGCAGCTAAATCTTCAATATTTCTTGAGAACGCAAAAGCCTGAGATCTGTGTGATAGGAACTGAGTTTAAATATAACGTAAATTAGATTGCAATATAAAGCGACGTTCGGTGCAAACTTATTGGTTTCAATTACCTCGCTGAGAACAAATAATCCTCCTGTTGTAATGGGGAAGTCTCAAAGTTGATGTTTTTATCCTTCAAGTTTACTTTTGCAGTAAAGTCCAATGGGATTATGGTCCTTGTTTTCACTGCATTTCCACTCCCGTCTGAATCAGTTGTGTGTTTATTCCCAAAATCGCTGTAATGTCTTTGACTACACTGAAGGGAGAAAAAGATGATTATATAGTAAGTTATTTGGGGTTCCACGACATGGAAAGCCATCCATTTATGTAGAATAGTCCCTGCTGGTGTTTAAACTCGACATGAGCCTCTAGCACTCATTATTATTATTATTTTATTATTATTATTAATTCCTTCATCTATTATTAGATGAGGGAATTGATGATGATGATGATAATAATAATAATTAATTTCCTGACCTATTCCCTTCTGGCTGATGTGCGCCATTGAGAATACTGTAATTTAATCTAGAGGCAATCTATGAAATGAACTTTGGAAAGAAAATTGCAGAGTCATATGCTTAACCCTACCACTGTGTTTTAATTTAACTGGTTATCAATTCTGTGGAATAAATACCTTGGGGTGACTTGAACGTTAAGCTGAATGGTGGAGTTCAGCAATTTAGCTGCCGTGACATTGGATGAAGGGTTTGGAGCGAACTGTGCTTTAGCTGTTGGAAGAAAGGAAATGAGGAAAAGAAAATGATCTTATCAAATTTTGCCACTGAAACAGGTTCCCTGACACTTATTTTGTTGTAACTCTTTAAGAAAGCAATACCATTTACTGAAACTGCTGTAAGAATACTGTAATGTAAACTCAGGTCCATCGGTAGACCAATTCCTGTTGCCACAATATGTCGAACCTCAGTTGCCAGTAAAGGTTTAGACCACTGTGTTGTCAATCCTTGTTGTAGCTGCTTTTTGAGTTTCATCAATAGAGCATCTTTTTTCACTGGGTTGTTGAAAAGCTGCGCACAGAACAAGATGTAAATGTAAGGTACATGTTTTATTTTAATTAAATAAACCGTCTTTACAAATGGCAGTAATGAACATTTTACCTTCAGTGCCTCTTGAATATCATTCTTGTTAAGTTCAACAAAAGCAACTTCTTGTCCAAATAATTTGATATAGGCAACACCCAATGGCTTGGTTGTAGGCAATGATTTCCACCCAGAGAGCTTAGAGAAAAATATATTTAATAGAGGAATGTAAGCATATTTTGCAAACCGTCTGTGAGAGAACACGTGGATCTTCTTGATCCTCAATTTTTCTGCATTTTAGGTTGCGAGTTAGGCAAATGTCTATGAAGAAACATGCAAAGTTTTAAACTGACATTTCATCTCACTGGTGTGTGTTGGGCAGTACTGAAACTCTGACAACAGTGTGAAAAATGAGCTTCTTAGCTATTACGTTATTAATCGTCAAACAAACTAAATTGTTTTCATGTAATGCAACTTGGAATTGTTTGTACCCTTTTCATGATGCGTTGAGACTTATCACTTTGAGGTTGTTTTCTCTCGGGAGAACTGCTCTTCTGTATGGCCTCGTGCAGTCCTTCTGCCTGGATACCAACCTTTATAAACAGAAGCAAAGGGTTGTCCATTCTATTTAAATAGCATGACATTTAGAAAGGTACATACACATCTTGTGTTTTATTCTTACTGACGTGTTTCACTGATACGTTACCTCCAGAAAACCTGCTGTACCTCCCAGGCCATAGACTTTGAATTTGGCCAAAGCTGATGTTGGGAGAATACTGGCTCCATTGTTTATTAAATAGAAATCAGCTTCTAATCCAGCCAATAGTTTATCTATGGAATAGATTACAACATTTAGTTTGTCTAAATTATCACAATAGATAACAAATGTCAAAATGTTATTGACTACCCAACACTGTACAACATATCCATTGCATTATGTAATGCAATAAATATCCAAATTCGATTGAACGTCACAGAGAGAATTCAGGCTCAGATTCATTTTGGAAATCGCATCTTCATGTGCAGTTATCAGCTGTTCACATTCCTCTATTGCTGTGCAAAAGTACAGAGTCATTTTGCCCAACTGTGTTTTTATGTGGTTATTTGCATATCATAGCATTCATTTTACAGCATCTTGGAGGGAACTGGGAAAATAGCAGCTGAGTATGACTTAAAGCATATGCTTGGGTTCCCTGGCAGTCTAATAGGAAAAGGGCGGCAGCAGCAGTAAGCATCCATTATGAATGCTGGTGTTAGCAGTCTAATCCAGCCTGGGTTAGTGACCAGTCATTGCTGATGTAGTGCTTATACTACATTGTCTACCTACATGGTAGAATAACACTGTATCTTGACAGTTGATCTTGACATCTAATAACACCAAAAAATTGATGGGGAGAAATTCCACTGGAGTCTACATTTATTCTATTTATGCAGCATTTTAGTACATCCAGAATTTGACAAATTGTTTGAATTCAGTCTTAACCTCAAAGTTGATTTGGTTTTCTGTAGATCTTAAAACAGGCTAAGAATTTGATAAATGCTTCATGCTATGAAATCTAGATCCAATCCAGGTGGAATTTCTTCTGGTGAATTTTAAACATACAAAATGAATTAAACTAGTTTTAGAATGATTACCTTTAAAAGTATCAAAATGCAGGGCTTTGCTGTGACGGTAGCTTAACTGGTCACATTTTGGACTCAGGCGTTTAATTGCTATATTGCAAGCAGTGGCCCTGTTAAAATCGATCATGTTAATAACATAAAAAGTTATCAAACAATTTTCTTCAGCAAATTATTTTCTGATTGCATAACATTAGATAGAAGCCTTTATACTTACACTGAATGGAGATCTGGCAGTGAGGTCTCTACTAGAGCTTTCATAAATGAATATGTGAAACTTGCCACGTGTAAATTGGTCTCTTTTATCAGTGAATCAGTAATTATTGCCACTGAAGCCATTGATGGTTTGGTCTCGAACAACACCACAAAAGCCATCATTCGTATTTCAGGATGATTTTTGGGGTTCATAAATAATTGGATTGTGATTTCTTCCACCTATAACAGATATTGTATATAACCAGATATAATGTACAGTATTTACATCTTACACATAAGAGCCACAAAGATTTCCATGTTATTAAACATTAATTTGAGATCAATAACAGCCTTCAATTGACTTTTCTGGTCCTTTATATTCTTAGATTCCTTAATACATATGGTGCAATGAAATTGCCTTGTTGAGAATTTATTGTAACCCTTTCAAATATTTTTGGACTTGCCTTGCGTGGCTGTAAAGCTGCAATATTGCGCAGTGCCATTATGGCTTCACGCTGAATTCTTGTTGGAAGAGCTGCAGCTCCTGTTCCAAATCCAGGTAGGAATTTCTGAATACGCTTTATGCTTGCTGGATGTCCTGCATTGCCAATTGCTTTCAGGGCAAGGACAATATCGTCTTCATTGGACTTACTGCTAGCTTCAACAAGTAGCTTATGGAGTGGCTGTAAAATACAACAACTTGCATTCATGTAGCACCATTCACAATGGTAGTGTCTCAAAGTACTAAACAGTGGGGGAGCTTAATGCTGATAAATACTATGTAATATACGGTAGGTTTATTGACACTAACATACCTGCAAAGTTTCTTCAGCACAAACCTGAATGGTTCCACAATATTTTTTTACCAATGATCCATAAGCAAGCAATGTGATTCTGCGGAGGAAGGCAGTTCTCTGTATGTATGGACTGTATAAAAGTACCTTGGGAAGGGCACAAGTGGTGTATTAAATAACAATTTTGCATTGCTTCCAGCACATGTTTATAATTAGCAAGCAATTGTGCTTTCTTAAATAAACAAGAAGCCAGCAGCTTCTCATTTTATAGATTTATTTTGCTATAACATTAGGCTCTTTTTAGCTAGAGACCTTGTATTGATCTTGAGTTTGATTTATTACAACCTCTGATATAACCTGCTTTGTTTACCACTCCCTTACTAATGAAGAAATTATTTTCATACTTCCACACTATAGGATCACGGGATAATTCTAAATCGAGAGAATCACTCATTGCATTATTTAGAGATTCCTGATGACCTTGTACGAGATTGACATGAGCTAGATATGCTCTGCTGATTTTCGCACTAGTCCCACTGTATTATGCAACATGAAGTGCACAACAATATTTTAAATATGAATTTTAGGTATCTACGACCACAAAATCAGTAAAAACAGCTGAATATGTGACAAATTTAAAAAAAAATTGACTAACTAGCCACTGAAAGGTACTTGCTGAACCCATCTTGTTGCTTGGCCAGGGAAAGGAAAAGTTGTCAGAAGCTGAATGTAGTTAGTTTTGAAGATGGTGCTATTTGGAGCCCAGTTTGTGAAATGGATATCATTATTGCATTCTGACCACATCTCACGATAGAGGGTATCACTTCAATCTGTTCCAGGAGGTTGCCCCTTTTGTTCGCTGTTGTTCACCTTGAGAATGAGTACTTTTCTCTAGAGTATCCAAAGCATCAAGTGGCAAGGTCTGAGCACAGGATGTCATTGCAGGCGAACAACATACTCTTTTATATCTCAATCTTCTTATCTCCTAATAGATTTTGCGCCATTGAGACACTGGTACTTTCTCTGAGTAGAGATGAATTATATTGAGATGGAAGTGGATTAGGAAGAGAAGAAAATACTGGATAAGGAAAAAAAAAGATGATGACGGGGACAAGATTTCTAGAAGGACTGTCCAAATGTTAGTGCACATTGTCAATCATGACACCCATTCAGCAAGGGCAATGCCTCAAACCTTATTTTAAGATTAATTTTCCAAGTTGTGAAAAAAAATCAGCATTTCCTTTGCGAATACTGTAGTTCAGTGTCATTAAAAATAGCTGTTCAAGTTTTAGTACCTGCACGGGGTCCCCATTTGCAACTCTGAATTCTTATTGAGAAACGTCATTAAGAATCACTGCAAACTTTGTCATCATCCCTAATAAATTGTCTCTTTCAGGCCACTTGTTTTCAACTCTTTCTTCGCTACAATTATTTCACAGGAGGTACACAGATTGTATTCTCTATTGGAAATTCCTTGTGAGAAATCTCTGCGATTACAGCTGAATTACTGCAATAAAATAATGATTACAAAATTTGTGCATACCGTAGCATTATCCACACCATGGCAGTCGGGTGTGATGGAATGGAGCATAAAAAGTAAAATGTGAGCTGCTTCAAACTGTGTGAGGGCCCCTTCTTCAATTTTAGTTTTGACAAAAGTTAGGGCTTCAATTGTTCCAACACTGGGTAATGTATCCAAAATCCAGCGCCTAATTTTCAAAAGAAACTGTTTAGTCACTGAGAAAATGACTTAAAAGAATCTTAAAAATTAACTCAAAGCTGTCAATGCTGCCTTCACCTGTATTCTGGTCTGGGTGCTTTCTTTTTCCAAATGGTTTGAATGCTTTGATAAGTTGCCGAACGCAGAAGCTGAATAAGCTGCAGAAACTTAGATGGAGCGTCCGAATGAGCCTTCTCTTGGTTGTTCTGAACTAGATTTTCCAGTATTTCAATAATCTGTAACAAAAAGGATCCCCTGTTGAAACACATATTACTATGCATTTAGCGAACATTTGTTAAGTGACGATTATGTAAAATGAATAGAAATTGACAACGCCAGCCATTGTTATTTACACCGATTGTTCTTTTTGTTTTAAAATCCATTTAGTTGTTCAATGCATTATCTTTGGGTCTCTGACCTGTTTTGTCACACGTACAACACAAATTGCATTCATCTTTTGCATGACTGCCATTATTTAAAAAAACCTTGATTACTTTCACATTATAAACAATCATATGATAACTACTACATTTTGGACAATAGATGATTAAATTGTAAAGCCCACAGGGTACTGTGCAAAAGCTTTTTTTAAAAAAAATATTTTTGTCATTTTCCTGCAGTACTTCATGAAAGCTATTAGTCACAGGATTGCAGCATCAATTCTGTAGCACAGATTATGCACCTAAAATAGATTACAGAAGCTGTGGCAGGCACAGCTCATTGAATTGTGAATTATTTAATTGCCTATTAATTTATTTAAAAGCGCCATAGAAATATACTCTTCAGGAGGTAATTTGGTTCGTGTTCATTTTAAATTTCTGTATTAATTTTATTAATACAGTTGAAATAATTTCAGTTGAAATAATAAAACATATAACAATGCATAAAAAGAAGGCATATGCTAAACTATACTTGATTTACTATCTCTTAAAGATTATTTAAATATACAAATTGAAGAGGGATTAAGTGGGAAAGTAGGTGAGAAAACCTTTGTGTCTTAATGCATTAAATCACGTCTTGCAGTCTTTGGTTGATTGTTTGACCTGGAAGGGTGCATTTATCTTGCTTGTAATTTCTTCTGAGGTTCATTTCCTCTCCGTAGACCTTAGACTATGATTCCTGATCCTAAAATTCATTCTTTTTGTAACTTTCTCACTGACGTAATACGTCTCAGTCTGGTACAAATACTTTCTGTGCTGTCTCCTGGTCTAATTCAACTTCCCTATTCCATTTGATGTGTAAAATGTTGATCAATGGTGCACCTTTATTGTGTCAGAATGTATGATTTACATAGATTGATATCTTCATGAAGGGTACAGAATTGCAATCCCTACCTATCCCTGTGCTGCAGATTGCACCAGTGCTAGCTGACAGTCTGGAACAAAAGTTGCAGGTTCTTGTCTCTCTAATAATTATTTTTTTCACATTCAGCAAGTTGAACCCTCACTTGTGAGACTCATTAGAGCCAGCCTAATTGACCTTGCGTTTTGAAAACACAAGGGAAACCATTTGACATCCTCCTTAGAGAGTCCAATTCAATCAGTTTCAGTTGAAAGTACCCATGTAGTTTTTACGTGGCATCTCCTGTGGAAAGTACAACTGTTCCATCTTTTAATTGATAGTTGTTAACTCCTTCTTTACCTCTCACTATTCTAGGGTGTTTAAGATCACTCTAGTTTTAATCAAAGCTAAACAGTGTTAACATGTACAGCTATTTTCACATATCCTCCAGGTATTTGCAATATTCTGGACATTTTGCCTCATTACCTTTGGAATTCAAGATGCAACTTTAGAGAACATTCCCCAGCAGTTAGAGTGAAGTCAAGGATATAGAAGGTATTGTTTGTTCTATGAAAAGTGGGCTCGATTGGCCGAATGCCTTTTTATTTTTCCATGTTTTCTTATGTTCTAGCCATCAACACCGTATTTACCTGAGTGTCATTATTTGAGGTCTTGAATAAATGTACTGGCATCTGCAACAGTTCATTGGAAAACTGATATGTCAGAGTGCCACGGTTTTCCATGTGGTACGATGTGGTGGGCAATGATTGACTTGTGGAATCCAAGAAAATAAGATGTTGTCTATGAAACAAAAAAGACAAAATATAGCATGTATAATATTATGATTGTTTTTTATATAATATATAAGACAAAATTATATGCATTGGAATGTTTGATGAGCGGAATCATCATTTTCCATTCTTAAGTCTTTATGCTATACTGTAAACATAGATGAAAATATATTTTAGGGATTGGCTGGCAAACTGGCATTATATCTGGGGCCCAAGTCAGACGAGAAAGATAAGAGCATTTTGACCGTGGTCCTAATAAGGTTAAGGTCCTAATATAAATGAATTCAGGTGTAAAGCTACCCAGAATTCAACACAATTTGGCATTAAACTGCCAATCTCCTTCAGAGAGACTAAGTCTGGTTAGAATAAAACATGGTAAAATTCATACTGTTGCAGTACTATAAGACTGGGTTAAAGGAGTGTTGTTCGTGTAGAGTAAGGGGGTCTGTCTCTGGATCGAGCCCTACTATAGCTGACCTTGAAGTGCTGGATGCTGAAACTGTGTGCCAAAAATTGAAAGAGAGGCTGTTCCATTACTCAGTATTGGCACCCCTCCCTTTCATGGGCTCAAAAAAGCTGCATCTAAAAAAGGAATTCTAGAACGAAAAGCTTTTATTCACCTCTGATACATTTTTACGCCTATAGCTCTTTACTTTGTTCATATAAGCTTTTCCATAGTGTTGAGTCAACTGAACTGATGAGATGTACTTGGAGCAGTTTTGTTATTTTTAAAAAAAAGCTTTGTATCCAAGCACATTTCTGAAGCACTTATAGATGTTATTCTATGTGAAGGATGCTATATAAATGCAAGTTGCTCTTTTGTATCAAAGATATCGACTTTCAGAATTAGTAAATTACAGAAAACAATCTGTAAACAAAAAAAAGCAGGTTGTTTGCAGACAAATAAAGTGCTTTGTGTACAGAAAATATTATTTTATGTTTACCTTGCCTCCATCAGAACTCCACCATCAAATTCATTGAATGGTGTGAACTGATGTGTCTCGTGGCTGTTCACTTCAACAATCTCTGCACCACCTTGTTTAGTTTGCATTGTGTAGGTGTATGTGGAAAAACTCCGTAGATTCTTGCCTTTCTAAACATACAAAAAAGAAGGCACAGACAGTTTCACATTCCCCTTTCCTCAGTTTAATTTCCCTTCACATAATCCTCTCACTGGTCTAGTTTCTGATACCTGCATCTAACTGCAACTGTGAATGTGTAAAGTTTCAACATCAGTGCTATTCTCCAAAGCACAGCAGATGTGCTAGCCCACTCTAGGGATGCTATGAATGAATGGGTTTCATGCCTTTTTTTCCTATCAATGTTCATTCTCGCATCACAAAACAGCACCCAGCTCCCATCATGGTCTATGGCGGCTGAACCAAAACATTATGCTCCCAACTCTCTGGGGGTTCTACTGGGTTTCTGTGAGGAACATGATTATGTGTAATGAGTCAACATCACCCAATGTGGAACGGAACTAATGGGATAACGTCTCCGCTGACTTTGACAACAGGATCCTACATGAAAGAAGTTTGGACATAATAGTAATAATAATCTTTGCATTTGATACAGCGCCTTATCACGTCTTCGAGAAATCTCAAAGTGCTTCACAGAATATACTGTAAAGTGAATTGACTGTATATTTTGTGTGTGAAACGTGGCAGCCAATTGCACACAGCAGTGTTCCGTAGACACACTGTGCAAAACTCTGGTTCTAAATTGGCAATCACATTCAAAGGTTAGGTTACACTAAGGTTTAGAGTTCACCCAAGAGAAACTGCCAATAAGAAATGCGTTGAAATGTTTTCACAGTTTCTATTTAACTAAGTGATTTGTTTTTTAGGCTTGTAGAGTAAAATACAAGTAAAAGGGTTAAATTTACAGAAAGGTTTGATCAGTATATGGAAGTCAGTTAAAGAGGGACAAGTGTCCTGCAGGTTTCCTATACTCACTATTTCTTCAGCAAACTGTCACCAAAAAATAAGAATTTGAGCTTACCAGTTGACAGCTTTCACAAAACTGTGTAAAGGGAATGCCCATTGTCTTCGAAGCTTTCTCCTGACAGTTGTTCAGATCTTTTGATTTTGTAATAGTTATTTGTCCAGCCTTCTTATCCTCCTGAATAAGGTAGCTTGTATGACAGATACCTTCCACTCCCATCTAAGCACAGTAATGTGTATAATATATAAAATTAGTATGGAGTACAGTGTTGAAAATATTCCAGAAAGATATGTGATGAGAATTAAAATGTATACCTCCTGTAGATCATAAATATTTTGTGTCTTTTTGATGCTGATTTGTAGGATGTTCAGAATGCCTCGGTAGATGTTGAGAATATTTTCTGGCAAGTCTGCGGGTGCATAAATATTTCCAACCCGACCACGGTTGTATTCAAACTTCACAGGTTTATTCAGATCTGCAGTCAGTCTCCGTGTCAGTTTCTGCGCTGGACGAAATGGAGCTTTTGGCCAAATACCACTGTACTCTTGAATTTGAGGTGAAATGATCTTTGGTGGTCATGTAAAGAATAAAGTATGAGTTAAGATTTGTTTGTGCTTTCAAAGAACAATGGTCTACATTGTTAAGACCTAATGGTTTCTATTTTGGTACTGTACATAATATGTTGTGTAACTGAAATTGCATAAGTTAGTTTGCTAGGAAACGTTTTTAACAAAGCAAACTCGCTCTGTTCCTGTGACCTGATCGTTTCAGATCTTTACCCTAGAGTCAGGCCTGTGTTTGTGTTTGTAACCTGTACAAATGTCATCGTCGGAGCGAAAATAAAGTGCTTTCTTGACACCTAAAATAAATCTATCTTTCAAAGATGCTTGGCTATATGACTAGACATCTGTATACATTGCAGCTTTGTGTGCAGGCAATCCATTATTCCCTGGTTAAAAACAAACAGAGCTGGGGTCTGGGTGGAGGTCAGCATGTGTCTGAAATTGCATTATCAGCACATTTCATGTCCTTTCATTCTAAAGTACAAACGCTAGCAGAAAGGTGATTTTCTGGTGACTAGATTTATATTTCCAGCCCTAGAAGTATGCGGACCTTTCCAGCCCTGGACCATGTAAAGTAATAATCTTATGGCTGTATATCAGCACAAATTGGAAATGTGTTGCTTTATTACCAGCTCATAGCCATAGAATGTACATTAAAGCAAACAACTGCTAGTTGTATAATTTGATAAAACATTATTTACCTTAAGAAGATGGATCTTTTGTCCCATGGAACTAATCTGAACTTTGCAGATAATTTTCAGACCTCCTCTCGCCAAATCTTTTTCTGGGAGACCAGTTAGGATAACACCTTCATACTTGTAAATGTATGTCGTCTTTGAACTAAAATTGGGTTCTGGAAAGTTGAAAGTTTGCAGAGTGCAATAATAAAGAGCATTAAATGACATTCTTGGACAAACTGTGGAGTCCTGTAAGCGTAGTGATGAGTGTTCTCGCCTCACAAGCGAGAGGACTCAGGTTTGATTCCCAGACGGGGCAAAGCTTTAGGCAAGTTTCCTTACGCCTCTGTTTACCTAGCAGTAAATTGGAACCCATTTGTTAGTCAATTGGAAGATTGCTTTCCAGGGGAAATAATCTCTCTAAAAACAAACCAAAAAAAAACAACATTGGTTGCTCAATCCATGACTGTTTGTGGGACACTGCTGCGTGCAATTGACTGCTGTGTTTTGTTCACAAAATACAAAGTCAATCCACTTTACAATATATTCTGTGAAGCGCTTTGAGATATCTCAACCACGTGATAAAGAGCTACATCAAATGCAAGAATTATTTATTATTATTAAATCTGAACCTTGAGGAAAAGAATTCCTTACCGTAATGCACTTGTTGACTCCCTGAAAATAAAAAAGCAAGAAAAATTAGAAAGTGTGCTAAATTTGTGGAACTAATTTAATAAACAAGCATATTTGTTTAAATAATAAAAAATTAAAAATAATTTAAATGGATTCTGTATTTTTGTACACTTACCTACGATAACTAGGGACAATGCTAAAATGATGCCCCTCATGATGAATGCTGAGAGTGTCTTGTGTACCTGTGGTTGCTGTTTTATAGCAAATGTCAAACCCACGTGGTGATATGTGCTCTATTTTGTCTTTGAGCATTTTCCTACAGGAATAATGAATCCAACTTTTCAAAATAGCAAAAACAAACTTTAAAAAAGTAATTAAATAATATCCAGGATCCAAACCATCTCTGTGTTTAGATTTGGTGATTTTTAAAGAGAAATATGTTTTTTTATTGCAAAATATTTGTTTGAACTCTCCATGCAATATTTGGCAATACATTTTGGCACAGTACCTCAACATGGGTTATTGTGACCTATGCTCTATTCAAATGTCCCTGCATGTGATGAGTTATACTGTATTATCTTTTTTGCTTTAATTTTGTTGAATATTTAAATATTTATAAATAAGTTGACTATACTTCTGGTATTAATTGACTTGAAAATATTTTGAAAATAAAGTGTTTTCCATTTTATTAATCTCTCCCAGACCATGGGTTGGCTTAGTTACATAACTGGTCTTGAGTCCTGATATGGATCAACGGTCATGAAGTTGATAATTTACATCGAACCAGTCCATTTATTTGATGATGGCATCTTTTACTATCAGCTCAACAGAAATGAGTTTGTTCCTCATGTAACAATGCATTCATTGAATTCTCATTGCTGTTATTTTGTCTCACTGGGTACTGGAATGCATTGCCTAAAACTGGAATGCGTTGCCTGAAAGCTGATTCAATAACAACTTTTAAGAGAGAAGTAGATAATTATTTGGGGAGGACAAGTTTGCAGGACTATGGGCAGAGAATGGGGGAGCGGGATTCATTTGGATAGCTCTTTTCAAAGAGTCGGCACAGACACGATGAGCCGAATGGCCTCCTTCGGTGTTATATAATTCTATGATTAACTTCAATCCACTAAATATTACTTCCAATTTATCTTGCAATGGACACAGAGAACTTATTTTGCTCAGAATTTTTCTGCTCCAAGTACTGAGAAACCAGAGTTTCTTCTTGTGTAATGAGTGTGGTTTTGGGTCACTTTGACTTTCTGCCTTAGTTCACACAGATGACATGAATAGCTTCCAAATGCAATCTAAAAACAAGCGTTCCAATCCATGAAAAGATTTACTCAGTAGAACAAATAATGACTGTGGACTTTAACTTTCACTGTCGTGCTAAACAATTCAATCATTTTTCAAAACATTTAAAAATGTCGATTGACAAGCTTAGGTCTCTCGATTAGACTTTCTTTTGCAGAATCATTCTCTGTAAAGACTTGGTCACTCTAACCTTTATGTTTTTTTTAAGAAAAATAAAATAACACAATCCTTATATTTGGTATAGTGCCTTTCATGTCTGCAGGATTAGGGTAGACTGTAAAGTGCTGTGACTATGTGTTTTGTGGGCAAATAATACATTTCCCCAAACATTTTTGTTTCTTTTCTCTCCCGAAGGTACTGGCTTGAGAGAGGCTGTTGTTCCATCAATCACTTTTGTTCCCAGCTTACTTCACTTAAGTCCTTATTCTTCATGACTTTATTTTCATAGAATTTCAGTGCAACAAATTACATCACAAATTGGGAAATGAAGTTTACTTTTTCAATCTCATTTAAAATGCAAGTTGATACAATGAGGAGTGAGTTAAACATCAAACAATTTGAAGAAAGTTTTGGTATAAAATACACACTTGTTTCACACAACATATCAAGACGTGAAAATACAACTGCTCAAGTTATTTGAAATTAACAAGTCGGCATGAAAGGATATTGAAGAGAATGCAGTATTTTTATAGATTGATTTGTGGGATGGAGTATAGGGTCAATATAGCACTATTTGCAGTGACTTAAAAATCACAGAGGATAAATTATTTTCCTAAACAAATTGGATTTTTACTGTATTTGATCTTGCAGCTCATGTGTGACACATTCTGGGCATTTTAGGCAAGTACAGCTTCAGGTTTTTGAGCACAAAATGCTATTCTCCCATCCATTTGGAATTGTTTTATTTCTCAGACAACCCACAATTGCATAAAATATAAACAGTGAAAGAAGATAACTAATCCATAGGATTTGAGGACTGCTGCTGTCTCCTTGCTAAATGCTTTTAAACTTGTCAACACCAGAATGAATTGGAAAGACAAATTATGCAAGTCGGAAATTCTTTGTGTCAGTCTTGACAAATTGCTGCCCTCTATTATTTAGCAAAACATAATAGCAATTTAATTGATTCAATCGTAGTTTGCTTTATTATCACCTGCAGGTTTATATATGAAAACAGAAAAAAAAATGTATTGTGTCTTTTCATGGTTTGGAAATACAGGACTATTTCAGAGATCTAAATCTCCAAATCAAAACTGTTCATCAATATCTAAATCGTTGTGAGTAACATTTTCATATCCATTGTAATACTGCTATCTGCTTATTGCTTTGTCTAAAATGGCTGTGCTGACATTAATCTTATTTTTAGCCTTATTACTTTTTGGCAGCAGTTGCTGTAAAACAGCAGAATCAGAGCAGAGAATGTGAAGAAGCCGGAAATGGAAGATAAAGGTTTTACTTATCAAAGAACTACCTGTTTGCCATCAACAGAACAAAAGTAGTGGTAGTATTGTCTGAAAGGCTGTCTGTTTGGTGTATTCTCTGAGGTGCATCTGCTCCTTGTCAGTGTGCATTCAGATGCTTGTCTTTGTGCCCCTTCTGCTTCGAGTTGTGATGTGGTTTCCAAAAAGCCACACATCAATTTCTCCAGTGAGTGACTGTGAACTGAGGCAGATAGATGACAATGCCACTGAGTGTTGGCTCAGCTTTCTGGGCTCTTACTCTGTCTCACAGGAAGGTGCATTGACTCTCTTATAGATTCAGTAAATGTGTAGTTTAGAGTTGACACCACTTCATAAACAATGCTTGTCCTACCAAAGGTTTCCTAAACTTTCCTGTATTGTGAATTCATCAATCTCTGTGCAGGCATCTACCAGCTTGAATCAGTTTTGATGCCACCTGATGTGTCTAATTTATCCTCTGCTCAGTTTAGAAGCCATTCCAGTCCTGTGTTGGCTAAACCAATGTGCAGAGTAGTATGCAGCCTTCAATTATGTCAGCTAAATGGAGCAGACTGAAGTTATGCAAAGCTGGATTCCAAGCCATGGTGTCTTGCACTTGCAATTAAGTGAATTAGACTTTGCATACACACCATATCATAATGAAAGGCTGTATTGCACTGTATGTGTCTCCAATGTCTTTTTCAGCAATCTTTCCTTGAAGCTGGAAACTCAGAGAGGTTGTGGCAATCTAACTTACTTGAACGTTCCTCACCTTTAGAATCTAAGAGTATACCTAGATCTATTTTATCTACTCCACATGCCATCTCCTCAAATACTAATGTGTTGGGTGGAGATTTGCATTGATGGTTCAGCATTAAATGACAGGAATTTTACATGATATTTCATGTTCTTATGTATTTTGCTCTTATGGCTGGTGAGTTTTGTGCAACATCATGCAGTGATATTCATTTGTGGTTTAACTTGACACTGGAAAATCTGCATTACTTCATGTCCACCAAAATGTATATTATCACTTGGGTGTTAAATCTGTGTAATTATGCCTCATTTACTACCCAAATGGCTTTAATGACTGGATGCAGGCCAACTCACGGTATATTTATACTAATGATATAAAGTAGAATTATATAGAAGACTGTTATGACTAACTAGTCTGATCCTGTGTTATATTCCACACAAGCCTCCACCTCAGCCCTTTCCTATATCCATACATTCCCTTCTCCCTCATGCATGCGTCATTTGAAATCTGTCAGTGGTGGATTTGCATCAATAAAATTTACATCCACTAAATTGATATTAACACAAGGGCTGTAAATTTGTAATTCATTGAAAGTTTGTTTGTTTGTATAATGAAATTATAAAACAAAACCACATATTTGGAATAAAATGTGTCTCGATTTTCTCTATAAACATAGCATTTCAGAGACTTGGGGAAATTCTTGAATTCAGTCTTAACTTTGAAGTTTTTTTGCAGAAAATTACAAAAATCAGCTTCAAAATTAAATCTGTATTCGTCAGAATTATCCGGTGTATTTCGTAGAATTTGGAAAATTCTATAATTCTACGTTCACAGAATAAATTTAGACCCAGGTCAATTTTATCTCTTGTGTTTAACTGTTATTGTGCATTAAGTGATTGTACCTTTAAACTTACAAAATAAATTCTGTGAAAGAAGCAAATCTATGTCATTAAATAATAAATGAATGAATGATTTCATACTGAATTCAATTGTTTTAGTAACTTGTCATTTTAATTAAATCCTACAAAATGTTATCTATTATATATGCCTTTATGACATTCATCAAAATACTGCCATGAATCAAGGTTCAGATAATTTTGTTTATCAAAAGCATCTAATACGACATTAGTCCTGGATCAGTATGATGACTAGACAGCAGTGCCTTTTTGAATACCTGAGTTTAACATTTTACATTAGAAATTGTCAAACATCTGAAATATTGGACTTTGAAATCAATCGTAAGGTTAATATTTGACAATCCGAAGGGAGGAAAAGGAGATGAACATTGTATCCGTTTTTATTATAATGGTGTGGATTGATGGTTATGCCATGTGATGACATGTTTTCATCATGGCATTTCTGTCACTATCAAGTATCTGGTGAGCAAGCCAAAATGACTTGCCACAGTTATGACATTTAACCCTTTAAACTGCATTTTTAGTGTATGCTAGTAATGTTGAATCAATAAATATAACAGATATGTAGTGTAATACAATGTGCTGCCATTTCTGTAACTGTACACTATCATAGGCTTTTAATATTCATACATTCCTTTGCATTATTTGCCACATATTTGTAAGATCAAGATGGTAGCTGAAAAGCAGTGCCTTAAATTCTCTAATTTGTAGTGCAAAATATTTTGGGAATTCAATGCTCCTAAAATGCCTTAAATTAAACACTTTTTGAGGCAAATAAGATTACTGTGCCTACATTGGAAACACAAAACTGGATTGAG